TTATTATCTTTTGCGCACTAATGACACTTTTTAACTCTTTCCATAACCACAGTAGGAATGTGTTTGTTACCAGGAATAACGCAAAACAAAAATGCCTGTGTCTTTTTTTGCAGGCACTTGTCAATGTAAAGTCACAGTTTACGTACCTCGACCATTAAACAGGACATTTAACCATCGTGGCCGCTCGTGGAAGGCAAGTGATGGCGACGGAATCAGGCGCGTGCGGGACTGTTTTCATGTCACGGAAGCGCACGAGACAGCCGCATACAGCAGGAGGAAAGATGACTGTGCTGACACCTGTTTAAAAACAGTTTTAACCTCCTCTCTTCGGTTGTGACCTTTACTTGCAGTGTAGAGACAGTGTCGGCTGTTTTTAATGAGGGGAGGTGAAGTTACTGCTTGTTGTTTCCCCACGTTTATATGAGCCGCATAGCGCGGATAGGGGAGGGGCTGGTTGTAGCATGGGCGGGACTTGTAAGGAGTGGACCAATCACCGCTGGATAAATCACTGACTTGTTTACAATTGGTGGTCCTCAATTAAATAGTGCTTAGAGTGTGCAAAGAGTGATTTCCCCCAAAAAATCTACTGTTTTTGGGGAGAGAGAACCCTTTTTGTTCCCAGGAAAGGCAGACATTCTAGCTGTATTCTTTTTAAAATAGACCAAATGGCCAACTTAACAATGTCATGTCACTTTGACAACACTCCCCATAATTACATAACATTAGAAAATAGACAAGAATACAAAAATGTGTAAACATAAGGTCGCATTTCCTTATCGCCCTATTTCAAGACAAATCACAATCAGAGTCACAACCTGAAGGTGAGTTGAGATATGTATATTAAGTTTGGGACAGAAAAAAAGTTCAATAGAAAGTGTCCATCTACATTAACTGTAGACTAGGGTCTCTTAAATCTGTGGACACTTTACAAACAGGAATATGAAATGGTTGTTCAAATAACCAAATCCAGTGTGGCCATAGGCTACATTAGAGACCAGCAACATGCTCATTCATCTATTACATTAACATGTAAGGGTGAAAAGCCTGACAATAATATCTGATATGTCTGTGTCTGGTTGATGTACTTTCAGAGTTTTTCTGTGGAAATGTACCTCATAAATGTTCCATAACACTTCCACTTATGCAAAAGGTACATATATAGCAACATTGATCTCATTTAAAAGACAGAAAAACATCTAATCCACTTGGCAAACACTGAGGCTAATGCTGCAGTTTTATTAGCTATGTGGATAGCAAACAGTCATTAATTCCAAATAATACTTAATTTAATTATTTAGTGGGAATGCTGTTAACAGCATTCCAACTATCTGTTCTTCTACGCACAACATTCTTTATTATTCCGCCTGTTATTTTGGCCCTCTTCTTCTCCCACATTCCACATCGCAGAAACTCCGTTCAAACATCAAAACGTTCAGCTCAGTCGGGAATCGATGGCTATTACTTTTCTCATTCATAACTTTCATAATTCCCAAGATATAGCCCATAATTCATCACATTTTTAACATTTTAACTTTAACATTGCGCAGCTCGTTAAGGCAGAGTGCGTGATGTCAGAGTTAGAGTGGAGGACAGTTTGAAATTTGCCTTCATATATTTTTTTTAAACTGCCATAATTCCCAAACCCTACATTCCTGAGACATACTTTTTCATGACAAACGTAGGAAAACATCTCGTAGCTTGAAAAATGACAAATAATTAAGCAAAATAATTAAACAAAATGCCTCTTGAGGGCATGAAGTGACAAAAACTTTCAACATGTCTCCATTAAAGCCCATTGTAATTTCAGGCTGATATTTCCTCACAGCAGCAGCCGCACACCTTTAGTTAATCTGCCAAAAAGGCCACATTATTGACCCGAAAGTACACACAAAGCACACTTCAGATACTCAAGGTCCTTGAGATGCTTCACGCTTTGAAATTTCACCGATATCTGTTACGGTTGTTCAACAAAACGTTCACATGTAAGAGGTTTATCTCTCATTCAGAAAAATGGAAACCTTTGATCTCTGGACGCCTCGTTAGCTCAAATATAAACACCTGTGTCATGGAACACGATGATGTCATAACTCCAACTGACATGCTCAGAGCAGCAGACTTCAGATAATGGTTAATGCATGGTCCTGCCCTCAACAGCTCTACGTCAATTATGGGGTGTCATCATATGCCGTTTCCATGGAAACGCATCCCTCGCCATAAAAGACGATGTCGCTTTACATTAAAGGGCCCATGTCATGGCCATTTCCACTGATCATAATTCCATTGTTGAGGTCTACTAGAATAGATTTATATTGTGCAATTTTCCAAACTCACATTGGTTTCTCATACAGCATCTCTGTAAACTACGTGTATTCACTGAATTTCACTCTCTGCCTTTAACGGCTCGTTGTAGCTCCAATAGCTCCAGCCCCCACCCTCCCTGTGAGCACAGTGTGCTCTGATTGGTCGAGACGTTGTGAATCGCGCTGAGCTCCGTGGAGGTGTTGTTTCCTTGTTAGCGATACACAGCCAAACACAGCCAAACTCATCCTGAGCACACACAAAGTCACAGCCGAAGTAAAAACAATAAGTGTGGCTTGATATTGAGTAAGAAAAAGGTTGATAAACGCTGTAAGAATGGGTCTGCAGAGAGAATTTCGCCACGAACCCAACTGTCTGTTATCAGCCTGCAGCCAGGGAGGAGAAATCAGCTGAACTGCCTGCTCCCTGCACACAGATGTGTGTGTGAGGAAGTCCGTGGATTAGTCAATTTGGACCAATCAGTGGGGGCTTAACGTAACGGCTCCGCGGACGTAACGTAACGGCTCCACGGATTGGTCCATTTCATTCCGGGTACGGCTTGACATCATGCCGTACCCGGAACGAAATGGAAGAATCAAATGGACAATGACGTATCTCCAACGAGGCGTTTTGGGGAGGTATTTTCTGTGTTAGAGTTTTACTCGCTACAGGGTGTACTTTGAGGGTTTGTGACTCTGCACACTATTTACATGCATAAAACCTTCATAACACACAAGGGGACGGGTAATAACCGGAAAAGCATGACATGGGCCCTTTAACTCCTATGAAAATGTTCAAAAAGTGCTCAAACTTCACATGTGTGCTAACAGTCCAGCCGTGAAGACATCTACGGGACAGTCTTGAGATTTCTTCAAATGCCGTTGCCATGGCAACACAATGCTCGCCATGAAACACGGTTTTCTCATAACTTCAGTGAAAATGCTCCAAACGGCCCAAAACTTCACAGGTTTGGTAACGATGCAGCCATCAACGCATCTAAGCGTATTATGGGGTGTCATCAAATGCCGCTGGCATGGCGACAGATCATTCACCATCAAGTTAGTTCAAAAGTTTGCAGTTCAAATATTCTGCTGCTTTTCCAAGCCTTTTACTTTCTTTTCTTCTCTCATCACACATTCAAGCCCCCAGTGTTCATGTATCATTTCAATCTAAATTCTTCACTTTCTTCTTACACATTACATTTCAGCATAGCAGTTTAGCGTCAGCTTTTCAGCATAAAGCATTCCCACTAGCAATTTCTTCAGGAATTGCATTCTCTAGTTACTAAATGTTATTCTTCCACTGCAAAAAATCAACCCACTAAGCCACCACATGCAGTGCATTCAACACAAAGGATGGTTTCACTTACATTTATGAATACAGAAAGTACTAACACTAAGAAAAAACTACTTGATTTAAATGATGAGCAATTGTTTTTACAATAGACGAAAACGTATGGTCTAAAAATAATCCAGTACTGACACCTGCAGGAAAGACATTAAGCCAGGTTACTACAGTATGTACAGTACAAGTAGCACATACAGTGTGTACATTAGGAAACTCATTTCACCAAACTAAATCTCTAAAATACTTAAGCTGCTGGGTAAACTCGTGGACCTATAGAATTTAGTGAGTGAATAATGAAGGACACAAGTATATTGTGTATAAAAGTGTGATCCAATTCCTTTTCTTCATTTCCTCTATTCTATACCACATAGAACATACAGCCTAACCTATATAAAGCAGAACAAGTACAATTCTGCACACGTTTCTTTTTTCGATTCTTTATAATGCTTAATGATCAAGCTAACTTGGGAACAATAATTCAAATGGTAACATATTAAAAAAAAAACATCTGTTTAAAAAACTAAAAAGGTGTTATACTTATAAGAGTTAAACTTGTTTAAGACTTTGTAACAATTTAGCTGATATGTTTTAATCTGTAACATAAGTGGCATACTTTAAATGAACAATCATTTTAAAATATAAAAAATAAAAAATCAGGTCAAGTAATTTTTCTCGACGCAAATTCATAAATTTGCCTCCAACGGATTTACAATCTCTGCAGCATACCACACTTGATGAATTTGTTGAATATGACAAAGGGCTGAAAAATCACACCTAGCTTAAGTTTAGATATCTGACTGACGACCTTCATATAATGCTAGTTTGAAAACACTCCCACTGTTGTGATATGAGAAAGGGGGATTCAGATCATGTTTTGATGTAATAACAACTGATTTCAGAATGCATAAAGTTTAGTCTTCACTAAATGTTATTCATTGATTTTCAAATCAATGCATAAAGTTTAGTGAAGTATTCTACTTTTTACTGCAGGAAGTCTTTACATAAATAAAAGAAATCATGTAGCTGTTGGTTCGACGTGACAGAGGTGGTCGCTGAGGTTATGGTTATGCTATGTGAAAGATTTGCTAGAGCTTTCTCACAAACAACTACAACCAAAAGCGAAACACAATGTTTAACCACAAACTACTAGAACAATTTAGCTGATATGTTTTAATATATATATATATATTGTTTAGGCCTCAAGCTACATTTAGAGTATATTGAAAGCAACACAGCAGTTCAACATGTATGGTTTGTGGTTGTCTTTGTTAAAATGAGAAATGAAACAGATGTGTGGTATATAAAAGACGACGATACAGAATGCAGATGTCATTTAGCTTGTTCACTATAGGCAAGCAGTTGATCTTCTTCTGTGACATTTTATTGGACGGTTTATTTAATACAAATGTCTTTAAAATATATTTAATCTCTGAACCAATCAACAAGGATGGATTGCCTGTTTATGTTTTTTTTCAAATTCCAACTTTTCCAGAGGACAAGTCAGTAACCCAAGTTCTGGATAAGAGTCTCAAGAAAAAAGGTATTATGATTGAATGTTAAGTATTGTGTTATGTACTTTGTTTAGGACACATGTTGAATCGTGTATCATCAGCATACAAGGAATACCTTGTTGGAAAGGTGCTTTAAAGTAGAAGAGTAGAAGTGTATGTTCTGTAATAGATTTGGGAGATAATTTAATATATATATACTGTGTATATATATATATATATATATATATATCAAAGTTAGTGTTATTGAATTTGAATAAAAGTTAAGATTGTAGAAAATTAACCAGATATTCTGTAATAAAGAAAAAAGACTGACACAAATATATAGAAAAACAAACAGTTAACAGACAAGGAAAAGGTTTTGTGTTATTATTTTTTTTAAACTGCATTTTGCTGTTCAATCATGTATTCGATATCCGATACAAAATGCAACACTCGCATGGTCCAATGAAACCACACCTTAAAATCTAACGAACGGAAGACGGAAGTAAAAACATGGCGTCTAGCGATAACGAAGTAATCCGTGTAAGTTTGAAAAAGAATGTGTAAGCTGAAATGAACCACTTTACCACTATTTGGTAAATTATGTGGAAGTAGTGCATTTTGGGAGGTTGCTGTTTGTATTGAGATGGGGGTTGACTTGGTGAAAGGAATCAGTCACGTCTTAGCACAGTAGCTAGCATGTTGTGGAAATGTGCGTTGTTTTTAGCAGTTGTATCGGTACAGCTTAGTTTCATAGTATGGTTATAATATGATACATTTCATTAATGCAACATCTTTGATGACACGGCAGCTTCCCACCCAGTGCACGGACAATGAAGATGAATATCCAGGTGTTGTCGTCTATGATGACGAAGAGTTTCCTATTTCCTCTCAACAAGTAAGGTTTTCACCATTTAGCTTGAAGTGTCCAAAACTATTCAAATAAATGATCCTAAATAAGAATGTTTAATGAAGTGCACTTTAAATGTTTAATGTTTAAATGTGTTTTGTTTTGTATTTTGGGAGGTTGCTGTTTGTATTGAGATGGGGGTTGACTTGGTGAAAGGAATCAGTCACGTCTTCTCGTTTGAAACATTAGCATACAGTAGCTAGCATGTTGTGGAAATGTGCATTGTTTTTAGCAGTTGAATCGGTACAGCTTAGTTTCATAGTATAGTTATAATATGATACATTTCATTAATGCAACATTTTTGATGACACGGCAGCTTCCCACCCAGTGCACGGACAATGAAGATGAATATCCAGGTGTTGTCGTCTATGATGACGAAGAGTTTCCTATTTCCTCTCAACAAGTAAGGTTTTCACCGTTTAGCTTGAAGAGTCCAAAACTATTCAAATAAATGATCCTAAATAAGAATGTTTAATGAAGTGCACTTTAAATGTTTTGTTTTTCTAGGAAGGGCAGGACGTCTTAGAAATTACTGCTTCTGGTGAAAGACAAGGCCATCACAGGTTAGGCATGTCAAAGCAAGGCAATTCAGATGCTTACAGAGGACTAAAAATGACTTTGTAATTTACTTAATGTTGTTGTTGTTGTTAAAATGTTGTTATATCTGTACCAAGAGACTTAGCTTTTTTTTTGTCTTCTATTTTGGCAATTGAAGCTAAACACTTAGTTCTTTGGCACTCTCTCAAAATATATTTGTCTCTGTCACAGACCATGGCACCAGGAAAGTGAAATATTTACTTATACTTAAGTATATGATGGCTGCTTTTCCCATTACTAGAGTTGATATGCTTTAACTGGTACATTCAATGTGTGGATTTACTTTAGTTATATTCTGATAAATATACTCCTGGCTCAACCTATCTAATGTGTTGCCACTGTGCTATGTACTGTAGCTCTGTGAGACCTTTCCAATCTGCCCGATATGAGAATGACGATGCTGCAACTCCAGCCAGGTAAACAAATCTTTAATTATACTGCCGCACATGTTGCATGTGTTGTATTTTACTGCTTTAATCAAATGTATTGTGTATGTCTTCTTACTCTCCTCTTGCAAACAAATTGCTTAAAATTAAATGATGACTAGTACACAGTTTGTATTGTGTCGCTTATCACGCTTGTCATGTGGTGGAAAACTCCAGCTCTATTGCATTTTAAAAGTTACTGTAAGCATTTATGTTTGCATGTATGTGTTTTTGAATCTGTGATCCAAAACTGTTCATTATAATTTAACTGAATTCAATGGTTGTTATACAAGTGACCAAGATCAGTGCTATCAAGTCATTCTAAACTTCCCATTGTTTTTCCCACAGTCTTCAGGAGGAGGAGGGCAAAAAGATGAATGAAGGCACCTACAGCCAACACTCTACATAAATTGGCAAATTGAGACTCTAGAAAGTCACTGGTCCTGGGCCAAGACTCAATCACATAACAGCATTTTCTTAGGAGCATCATGTTTGTTTAGTCAGAGCGGAGCACGACTCCTGACTTTTCCCTGTGTTTTTTTATATATCTGTTGTAATTTATTGTCTTTTATTGTGATTGTAGTAATGTGATTGTAGTAATGTGATTGTAGTATTTATTACATGTACAGCACTTTGGCCCGACCAAAAATCGCTTTTAAATGTGCTTTATAAATAAACTTTGATTTGATTTGATTTGTTTGGATAGAGAAAACCCATCATTATTAAGATACGAGAGTGGTAATAATCTTCAAATGTAATTAAGTAAGTGAATAAGCAAAACTGTCGAGAACGAGCTGAGAACCAAAATGCAACACACGGGAGACCAGGGAAAGTCGGTAACCAGGTTTATTAAAACTTGTTTCCACAGAAAAGTTCTGGTGTAAGACAAACCGGCAGACAGTAGGCAAAGGGCTGGTCGGGGACAGACGAACTACACTTAATCATTTACAACATTGCATGATAACAAATACACTATGAAGGATCTCGGAGTTTGGGCTCCTTCCCAAGGGGCAGCTGCATGGTTTACTGCGTGATCTGGATAATGGATGCAGGACCTTTAATACTAAAATAAAAATATGTTCATACCTTTCAAGACTCCTTATTGTTCAGAGTGCAAACCACTTAAAGGTGGGGTAGGTAAGTTTGAGAAACCGGCTCGAGATACACTTTTTGTTATATTCCATGGAATGCTCTTAACATCCCGATAGCAATGAATATCTTAAGTGCTTTGACAAAAAATCCATAACAAAATGTCATCTGTGGAAGCCGTAGTACTGTAAAATGCACGACCAATCATTTTAGCCGGCCCGGCTAAAATAACTGGATGGCCTACCTGCCTGTCAGCCTTCCATCTGTGCACAAACTTATCTCGTGCCCTCATTGGTCATGTGCGCGTTCGCGTGTGTTGGAGGAGGGGCTCTGTAAGGAAGTGGCAGATTTTTTCCGGCTGTGTATTTTCAAATTCTAGCGCACTCAAGCTGGTTTCTCCAAAATTACCTACCCCACCTTTAAGCTGAATAAATCGTGTAATATACAGGGTGAATTGTCCTAATATGGGACACCTAAGCCCCAGTGGGGTGTACTGTAGGTCTTCCTCAAACAAATGAGAGTCAATGAAACTATGGGTTAACACAAGCTGTGGTCACATGACAGGAAGAGCTTAGGTGTCCCACATTAGGGAGTGTCCCAAATTAGGGCAATTCACCCTACCTATACACCAGGGGTCGGCAACCCCTGGCACGCGTGCCACCATTGGCCTGCAGAAGGAAGCCATGCAAACAACGCAGCCCCGCTCTCCAGGCGACTTTCTGCCGCTTTCCTCCGTGGTGCAGTGCTGATCGTTTCACCACAGAGGAAAGCACTTCACAAATTGCAGTACCCATAAGGAGCTGTACAAATGCCACAGTTTTTGGCTGTGTCTTTAGTTGAAAGCCCAGTGGCGATCTGCTCATCTCTCATCGAAATAATATGCTACCAAGGGGCGGACTGGCCATCTGCATTCTGGAGAATCACAGAATGGACGATTGTCCTTATTATTATGCCGTTTAAACCAATTATTTAAATGTCTTTGTTAAATTCGGCACCATGTAGTTGCGCTGACAGGTCCACACACTGCTTCCCCGCAGCGAGGCTCCCCCCCCCCCCCCCGTTGATAATTCACGATCGTCGGCACGCTGATAAAAAATGGCACTTCATATCAAAAAGGTTGCCGACCCCTGCTATACACTATCAACATTGTACGTTCTTGTTTGTCAAAACGATTTGAGGGTTAAGAACAACGGATTTGGCTGACCCTTAAAGGAGAGGTGTCATGGCCATTTCCACTGATCATAATTCCATTGTTGAGGTCTACTAAAATTGATTTATACTGTGCATTTTTTCAAACTCACATTGGTTTCTCATACAGCATCTCTGTAAACTACGTGTATTCACTGAATTTCACTCTCTGCCTTTAACGGCTCGTTGTAGCTCCCAAAGCTCCAGCCCCCACCCTCCCTGTGAGCACAGTGTGCTCTGATTGGTCGGGACGTTGTGAATCGCGCTGAGCTCCGTGGAGGTGTTGTTTCCTTGTTTAGGATACATAGCGAAACACAGCCAAACTCATCCTGAGCACACACAACTCACATCCGAAGTAAAAACAATAAGTGTGGCTTGATATTGAGTAAGAAAAAGGTTGATAAACGCTGTGAGAATGGGTCTGCAGAGAGAATTTCGCCGCGATCCCAACTGTCTGTTATCAGCCTGCAGCCAGGGAGGAGAAATCAGCTGAGCTGCCTGCTCCCTGCACACAGATGTGTGTGTGAGGAAGTCCGTGGATTGGTCAATTTGGACCAATCAGCTTAACGTAACGGCTCCGCGGACGTAACGTAACGGCTCCACGGATTGGTCCATTTCGTTCCGGGTACGGCTTGACATCATGCCGTCCCGGAAGAATCAAATGGACAATGACGTATCTCCAACGAGGCGTTTTGGGGAGGTATTTTCTGTGTTAGAGTTTTACTCGCTATAGGGTGTACTTTGAGGGTTTTGACTCTGCACACCGTTTACATGCATATAAACCTTCATAACACACAAGCATGACACCTCTCCTTTAACTGTCTGTGTAAAAGTATTTGAGGAAGTACACAACATTATTTTTATTCCAGACTATTACTTATCCTCTATTTAGGGTGTGTATGAGTTTAGATGGTATGAATCATAACCACGTTACTGATCTGGAATTTTTCTCAGTTGAGACACTTGACAAAAGAAGACCAACATGAACGGGAAAGTCTAATCAACATTTTGTACGGATCTTATGCAAAAGGTAGGCCAATTTTTGGGGGAAAGGTAATTTACAGACAATCATGTAGGCAATAGTTTTATCATCCCCATTTATATTTTGGGTAAATTAGACCTTAAAGACATTTGACAACTGGCTTTTAGAAAATTATTCAGTGAGGTAAAATCAAATAGAATCATTTTAGATTTGGGAAGAGTAGTGGTGGGTAAAAAGTGCTCTCAACAATGATTTTTGATAATTGTTGAAAGAGTAAGATACATACTTTTATTTTTTCCAGGTCTTACAAATAAATAGTATAATAATTGTAAAATACATTATTCTGAGATTATCTGTACTAATTACAACAAAGTCTAATACAAATTAACAAGAAAAGGGTTTCATGTAATGTTTCAAATAACATGATGACTTTAAAAAAAACGATATATATATAAAAAGAAAATGTAATGCTAACATCTGTTACAAGGACATGTACAGTGGCGACTCGTCAATTTCTGCTGACAGCAGGTGGGGCTGCAGAAATTAATAAAAATAATAATTCCAAAAATATGTATAAAATACATGTTAAAATATATTTTAAGATCATGTTTAGCGGTCTCTACATTGTTGCTTCGGACTGCGTTCTTCTGATTAGTGTCCACAGTGTGCCTATTGAGCCGTATTGAGCGATGTGGTGCAAGCCCCGGGCTGCCCCTCTCTCTCGCTGTAGAAATGAACGTGTGCTGTAAAAATGAACGTGTGCTGTAAAAACTACACTGCGCATGCTCAGTCTTTTTGTATTCAATGTGTGCGGCAAAAAAAAATCACAAGTGGGGCAAAGTGCTGGCAACTAGACCAAAACGTCATCTCATAATTCAGAGTTGATTGGTTGTATGTACGTGTGCCGCGAAAAGTGTAGTTGTGAAGAGGAGACGAGAGAGAGCAGCTTATGGCGCATTTCCATTGCAGGGCCTCGCTCGGCTTAGTACAGTATAGTTAGGCCTTGTTAGGCCTTATTAGGTCAGGCTCACTTTATGCTGCGTTTTCCATAACAGTTTAGTAGCTGGGGCAGTAACTATAGTAACGCAGTGTAGGCGGAGCCGTGACGTCATCTTCAATGCGAACCACAGAAAAACAACATCAGCCGTTAGCTGTTAGCACTCAAGCTCACAGCTCCTCATATCTGTTCAGAAACTAGACAGAAGTTAAACAAGTACAAACCACAGACTGTCTGTGTCATGGTGAATACAGTCGCTGGTTTAATTATGTCTGTATAGGCCGTTGTTGTGAGTGTGGACGGTCGGAGCATATACTGTGTTAGCTTAGCCGATCTCCATTTAGAAAACACGCATTTTAAAAGGTTTTTCGCCTGCCGTCTGTCTGCAGACTTGTCAAAGCATTAATTCATGGTTTTTACTAACCGGTATCAGTATGTTGTTACTTCGGCATCATTTTGAAACGGGTATTACAATTAAATCACGGTCAAATATGTTCATTTTGTTGTAGTTGTAGCCCCCTTGCCAGCGATTCTCTCTCTAGTTTAGCATACTCAGCCCGTCTCAGCCTGGTTGTTGGCCCGCTAAGAGCCTCGATTTTATGGGGACAGAAAAAATGTGAAATAGCTAGCCGGTACTACGCCTAGTGGAAACGCAACCAAAAACGGGCCATGCTCGGCACGGCACGCTTAAACCGCGCTGTAGTGGAAATGCGCCATTATAGCGATTAACATCAGTAAAACGGAAAATGAATGAATTAAGTTGACCATCTACTTCAGCTTTGGTAAGTTCATTTTATGACAAATATTTTGTTGATCTCCTGGGTTTTGCCTATAGGCTATTGCTCTGCTGGATCGATTGATATTGTGACCTCGGTGATGAGTGTCTGTGTTTTCCTCATATTTACAGTCTATGGTGTTTTAATGCTGAGGCATTACGGTTGTTGTTATTGTTAAGTATTGCTTTTTGATGGTGCCCTTTACTGCATGTAGTAAGGTGCATTACAATATGACATCCCCACGCTGTGTACGTAAATGTATGCGCTGACAGTGTTGCTCCCCCCCACTCTCTCTATCGGGACCATGGATAGCCTACAGCTATTTGTTTACGTGTTTAAAAAAGCACCAGAAGCTTATATATAAACATCTAAATTGTTCGTGCCCCACCATTTTTGTACATATAAAACGCCACTGGACATGTAGGCTAAGTCTAAACATTTTAGGCAGAAATGAACATAACTAAAGGTGCGATGTTTCTAGAACTTTATAACATAGACAAATAAATCAACAAGATCAACAGATTTTTAAAGAGACTGGTATGGAAAATAGCATGTTAGCATGACAAGCCCCGGCCTGTCTTGTAGTGTAATACCACTCCTCTAGAGGCAATAGCGAGTCACTGTTGCGCGGCGCCCGTCTCTTACCTTAGACTAGAGAACAAAGAAGTCATTTGAAGCAAGACTAGTGGATTGAACTATTTTGGCCTTGGAAAATGTTGTTATGTACTGTAGTGACTTCAATCCAGAGCATTGATTGGTGCAGGAATGAGGCCTGAAATCCAGAAATGTGTTAGCATTTTAGAACCTCCGGTTAGCTCTTCTCCAAGTCAATGGGGCGTGTGTGGAGTAGTGGGTTGTCCGTAGGTGTTCGGATCAGGGTTCAAACCCCACTTCCGTCAGCATGTCGTTGTGTCCCTGGGCAAGACACTTCACCCCAAATTGCTCCTGTGGGGATTGTCCAAAGCATTGAGTATGTAAATCGCTTTGGATAAAAGTGTCTAACAAGTAACATGTAATGTCAATGGGTTTTTAATGGTTTTTTTCTTTAGAGATTCCAAAGCTTTGTTTTACGACAAAATATGGCAGTAAATACCCCCACTTATGAATGTCTGAAGCTTCTATGTTTCATAAAAACGGCGGTTGCTAATTGGTGGGGAAATGAGGCTAGGGGCACTGGGGCTTGGGCTGTCGAGATTTGAGTTGATGTGGCAGCTGACTAAGACTCCGGGTGTTTCTCAATGTCGAGTACGCTTGCTTGGTAGCACATGTCTTCCGAGCGTCTTGCTTCAGAAGTGAGGCAAGAATACTTCCTGGCATTCGGAAAACGAAGAGTGGAACAGGCGAGCAAGTGTGCAGGTGTGCGTCTTACATTTTCCGCCACAGATTTAGGGAAATTGGTCCGTGCGCAAAGCATTGTGGGGATTTTAAGACCGCGGAGTCTACACATGTGCAGCCTCCAAACGAAGTACGCCGGGCTCGGTAGAATTCCATGTATGCTGGACATTGGAACAGTCCTTCGGTGGCACTCGATGACGTAGTATGCTTGAAACAGTGGCTCTGGAGCAGCTTTACTCGAGATTGAGAAACACCTTCAGTATCCAGATAAGACAAGTCAAGGCAAAATAAATGGCAATGCCACACTTGAAGATTACAAATTAGCAGTGTTATTTCACCAGCTGTCAGAGTTTCAGCAATGTAGTTTTAGAGCAAGGGGCTTTCTACAACACATTGTTACACCTCTAACAATAACACAAGATTTTACTGGCCTTTCAATATAAACCACATGTTTTTGTCACAGGGACAACAGTTAAAACAACAGAATCATATTGTGAAATTCTCCATGGATTGGCAAAACACATTGAGAACTTTGTATTGCATTGCCTGGGCGGTGGTGGCGAAGTCGATAGGGACTTGGCTTGGCAACTGACCAAGTGCTACCGAGGTGTCCCTGAGCAAGGCACCGTTCCCTACACTGCTCCCCGGGCGCCGGACATAATGGCAGCACACTGCTCCTAACACTAGGATGGGTCAAATGCAGAGGAACAATTTCGTTACATCGTACCTGTACTGTGAAATGACAAAAAGAGCAATTTATTTATTATTGATGCTTTTTGCTCAATTATTACGAGTGTTTAGTAACATTCACTTTTACTAGTTTAGATACAAAGCTTTTGCTTATAGTTGTGAGCAGTGGCTCAGTCTGTAGGGACTTGGTCTGGGAACCAAAGAGTCGCCTGTTCACGGCCCGATCGGACCAAAAAAATATGGAGTGAGCTGGTAGAGCAAGGCACCTAACCTCGAAACTGCCGGAGGCTGCCGGAGGCTGGCAGCCTCTTTGCTCTGCCACCTCTCCTATCTGCATGTGTGTGCATGTATACCCTCCCTATGTGTGTAAACACAACAGGGTGTGTCTTCTCCAAACGTTGTACCTCACATAAGAACTGGCTGGACGGGAAGTGTGACTTCAACAAAGGACATCTGATTATGTCCACATATAAGAGATTTCCATGAAGGCAAATGTGTTTCCTCCTGTAGTCAAACTGTTTTCTCAATGTGCTTGTGTTTAGATGCAGAGAGTTGGATGTCATGATCGCCATAGGGAAGTTCATATAGAGAACTGAAACTGATGAATTTGCTCATCTTGGAATTGCTCTGGAGAAGTACGAGCGTATTTGCTGAAGTAATTTTCAACATCCCGGAAAATGACTTATCGGTCACTTCTCTCTGTTGGATCAGTGGACTGAAGAAGACCAACATGAATGAAGGGATTGTCTAATCGTCGATTTGTTCAAGGATATCAAGAAAAAGGTATGCTATGTTTTAGGCAAAAAGGATTTTATGGACAAATGAATGTATAGTATGCTGTATTACATGGTAATGTTACAAATGTTTGGGATCAATTAGACCCCCGAGAGGTCTAACTCACAGTTGGAACCAACTGTTGGAAACATTTAGGAGGAGAAATTGAAATTAACACATTTTGTATTTGATAGAAGTACTGCGTAAAAGTGCAGTCAACATCAAGTAGTTTTGGCATTTCTAATAGAGGGAGAGGTTCTTTTGTCCAATGAGGGTTGTTTTAACAATTATAAATGGCTTATGTCTCATGTTTGTTGGATAAATCTAAATATTCCTCTTTTTATAATAAATAACATTTTGGAGGTTTCAACACTGCTGTACAATAATTTATACAACATCGGATACAACTTTTGCAACTCTCCCAACTCTCGCGTGGTGCAACAAATCACGCTTTTGGGGCATTCGGTACGCCCCAAAGGCGTTCCAAATACAAAACATGAAAGGAGCTAAAATGGCGTCGCCTCGCGTAAGTTCAGAAATTGTAAGATTAAATAATCATACCTTTGCAAAGTAGTATGTACATATAAGTATGTGGAAGTTGTTCAGTTTGAGTAGTTACTGTTTGTATTTGGATGGGGATTCACTTGGTGTATCGTTTAATTCTCTACCCCGTATTCCTGCTAAAGCTTTAGCATTGCTAACATGTACACAAGTCGATAATTAGTTAAATCAATTGGCGTTTACATTGTTAAAGCTTAGTTTGGAAATATGGGAAGTATATGATACATTTCATCATCAAAATACTTTTTTGATGATTCTGCAGCTTCCCATCCAGTGTGTGCACAATGCGGATGGATATCCTCCTGTGATCGTCTACGGTGATGAAACATTCGACTTTTATTATCAACAAGTATGTTTTTTCACCATTTAGTTTAAAGTGTAGGCTCAAAATCTATTTAAATACAAGTGCTTTCATTTTAACTTTTCTATGGAGCGCATGTTATAGGTTTTGTTTCTCTTTTCCTTGCATGGCCAGGATGCGGTGCAGCAGCATGATTCTGGAGAAGGCCCCTACAGGTGGGCAGCGATGCATAGTTTGGTACAGATGCTGTTAAGAAGCTGATCATTTAGATATAACACATTTCTATATTGTTTTTTTTAAATATAGTAAATCAAATGTAACAAAATTCTGTAACTGGTTATAATCAAACTTTTGACCTTGTATGTATTTTTACTGCCTTTGTTTATTTTGTATGTACCTACCATAGACCATGTTTCTGATAGAGCAGGGGTGTCCAAACTTTTTTCACCGAGGGCCACATACAGAAAAATATAAGAAGGGCTGGGCCACTCACTAAAGGTGAGGTTTATTACCTCATAAGTTCTGTTATACATATTTTTCCCTTAAAACAGGAGCCTCAGATTGCTTATAAGAAGAGGACATATGAAGATATATTTCAAGCTTGTTATCTAAATTTGTTATTGGGCTTTTTTCTTATCAACTTAGATTTGTTAGAACATGTTTTCAACTTTATTTACTGAATTTATTTGAAAATTGGGCCTATTAACACATGAATACTGTGTAATATATTTGAACATATATATTTAAGAAGTACAATATAAGACAAGCAGAAGTTTATTATTCTTAAGTCATTATACTTTTTTAATTTGCTGAGTGAGGGCCGATTCAAAATGGTCCGCGGGCCACATTTGGACACCCCTGTGATAGAGGCATCTGCCACAACTTAATGTGACCTACTTGTATTTTCTTCAATCAATGTGTGTCTTTAGTTATATTCTCATTAATATCTGATATTACCAAAGAAATAACAAAAAAACACATTATTTTCCTCTCTCTCTGTAGTTCTGTGCGACCTTTCCAACCTGACCGTTATGAGAATGAGGACGCTGCTGGTTCGAGTGCCGGGTTGGACGAAGAACAGAATGTATACGAGTGCTAGTAGTACAAGTTTTGGAGTTTACAAAGTTTTAGCATTGATAGCGTGTACATGAGTTGATCATTAGTTAAAGCAATTTGCGTTTACATTGTTAAAGATGGAAGTATAGGACACATTTAATTATCAAACTACTTTTTTGACCTTGTATGTATTTTTAATGCCTTTGTTTATTCTATATATTCTATCTATGTATATTCTGTATATATAGGTATTGTTGGAGCTATATATCTCTTTATATTATTTAATAGTTTAACATTTTTTTTCTTGCTGTTTATAGTGTTTATTGTAAATGTATTTTTAGTTAGTGTCATAAGTTAAAGTAGTTTCTATGCTTTTATTTTGAAGGCATGTTTCGGCACTTTTGCTATTGAAGTTTTTTATCCAAAACCTTTAAGTTATTTTAAATGTGTTAAACTATTTCATGATGTATGCTGCTGGAAACAGTCCCCTGTTGTGAGAACAAACAACAACAAAGATGTGTGTGAGAAGTTTAGCTACTACACATTGTGTCAAATAAATAAACTGAAAAATAATGAAGATGTACTAACATGAAAAGACATAACTGTTGGTGCTTTGTTTTTTTGATACCATGATGTACTAGCTTAAATAAACCATGTAGATTCAAAGTTATTCAATACTCACCTTGTCATCATCAGTGAACAGCAACAGATCCGGGGTCAGTGTAAATTGAGAGCAGAAAAAAAAATAGTTATGAGATAAATGATCCAATTAAAAAAACAAAACAGGTTTACACAATAACATACATTACTTTCTTAATTTAGGCTATAACTTTGTTTATTAATCAGTATGCTCACTGTGGTGTCGAGTGAACGAAAAAACCTTAAATGAGAAGGTAAGATGTAAATAAAAAACAATAATTTATACACTAAACTATATTTTATATATATATATATATATATATATATATAGAGAGAGGTTTTGAACAGCTCTGATCAGAAGTATCACTATACTATAGCTTAATTTAATAGCTAGTTTATACTTACATTTATCAGACAGCAACCAATGTGCTCACACTGGTCTTCTTCTACAGACTCACTTGCAGTAACGTGCCACAAATAGCTTACTCTGCCCCCTACTGGCAAGTGCTATAATTACAGCCTAAACAAAAGAGCTGAAGTATGAATAGTATAATTCAAGTAAATGCTACATTAAAGAAAAAGGGCACGTGATTTAAAAATGTTTCAGATGCTACACTAGAAACATGGAAAACAATATCCTGCTCTATACCAATAAGAAATGGTACATATATATAAATAAATAACTTCAAAATAAAATAAACGTAACTAAGAAAAACAGTGTTACACAGTAGTTAAAAAGCTGAAGTACCCGTTTAATAATGTAACAATAATAACAATGTAAAATGACTTCACGTGCACGAGAATGACTGATCTTTGTTGCAGTTTGATTTAAAGCAAACTGTTAAAAAAAGTTATACATTTCAACTAAAACTGGATTTAAACATACAAACCGAAATATTTGAAAACATGAAAAGAACCAAAATGTATCAGTGCACTTAAAAACTTTATTATAAAAATGAAACAGCAGTTGCATAGAATAGAGCTGGTGAATCTCAATGCCCCGTTATTAATGTCACTTGTTTAAAGCAGGAACTATAAAAGGCCTGGGACTTCAGAGACATTAAAAGCAGCGGTGCATTCCTGCCCAGACACATTATTTTGTTTAAAAATATATCATACAAATACTGTATGAACAACACTGAAAACATAACATTCCACTGTACAAAAGCAAAACTGTACCAAATCCCTTCACAGCGATCGCTGTAACACAAATATACATTCAAGCTTCCCAACAAAGACAAAAGTAACAGAAACAAGTTCATTGTGAGATAAAGTCTCCTACAAGAACAATATATTAGACAAACAGAAAATAAAAACGAAAATAAGTCAGTAGCTGCAATCTGTTTGAGAGGCACATCTGTGGGAGATAAAATCAGAGGAGGGGGTGTCAGACGTTCTGGGGTCCGATCAGCAGGATCAGAGGTGGAGGCGGCCCTGGCTGCGTCTGATATGGACAGGAATCTGAAACAGAGGCAATGGATTATTACAGCTGCTGACAGAGGTGTGTGTGGGAGTGTGAGGAGTGCGTCTATGGGAATCTAACCTTGGGTATTTCTGGGCTGCCAAACGGCGAGAGTTCCAGTGAGTTCTCTTTGTCGGAGGAGTCGTTGTGGCGATGCCGAGCGAACTTTCTCTTCAGCGCTTCAGCGATAAGAGCCGCTGGGTCGCTGAGCAGAGCGGGGCCTCCCTTACTGCGCCGTCTTCTGACCGGAGTGCCCCCCGGGGATCTAAGGAGGACAGAGGAGGAACGTTTTAGAGACACAGAAAGAAAAAAATCTAAAATAAGACAATAAACGATGGGTAGTTTCTGAGAACATTCTGCCACATTGGGACATAAAGCATCATATTGTAGGATAGTTATAATATGGGACACCCATATTCAGAATCAATCAACAATCAGAAACCAAATATTGTATTTATCCCGGGGGAAATTAAATTGCAGTTGCTCCATTTTAGAATGAAATAAAATAAAATATACATATTTGTTTATATTTAATTGAATACAAATTTAAACATCAGAAGTAAGAATGTGCTATAAAAAGATTTTTTTTAAATGAAAAAAAACATAATTATATAAACATAAGAAGTTAAAAGTATGTCTAACTAAATTATAAAATAGAATAAAAATATAAAAAAGAAAAATGTGCATGTTGTACTTCAATTCAAAACATGTTTTTTACAGCATATACCTTGGATTTTAGTGCTAGATTTCACAGTTTTTAAGGCTTCGGCTGCTCACCTGTTGACCGAGCGCAGTTTGACTTGAGTTAAGTCCTTGAGGACATCCAGCATGGACGGCGTCCCTTTAACGTCTGAGTCCTGGGGTTTGAGTGGACCCTTGTCGAGGTTTTTGTCGTTGTCCCTCCGCCGGCGGATCAGCTCTACGACAGACGAGGACACAGCGGTGGAGCCAGGGCACGAGGGAGGGGGAGGTGGGGGTGGAGGAGGAGGAGGGGGAGGAGGAGCAGAGCAGCGAGGCGTGGAGGTGAGGGGGGGCGGAGACATCAGAGGAGTGCCCGGGGTACTCTGGGTCTCAGACAGACCTTTAAACACATTGAAATAACACAAGTATGTTATTCACACGTATAACATGCGGAATGTAACCAAGTACATTTACTCAAGTGCTTGAGTACAATTTTGAAGTACTTTCACTCTTCTTTATTATTAACATCTTTTGCCATTTTATACTTCTACTCCTTTTTTAACCAATTATTTTTTATATTGGCAGTTACTTAAAAAACAACAACATGATGTGTTTATATGATACTGTGTATATGTATATATATATATATATACAAAAAAAACTTCAAGAGCCATTCTGCATAATGAGTATTTATATTCGATACTTTAAAGGTCCCATGTCATGGCCATTTCTACTGATCATAATTCCATTGTTGAGGTCTACTAGAATAGATTTATATTGTGCAATTTTCCAAACTCACATTGGTTTCTCACAGCATCTCTGTATAGTATGTGTATTCACTCTCTGTCCTAAACGGCTTGTTGGAGCTCCTGTCCCCCCTCCCCATGAGCCCATTGTGCTCTGATTGGTCAGCTCGCCCACTCTGTTCTGATGAGTCCACCACCGTTACAGCGGAACATCAGTGATTATGTGTTACAATGGCGTTTGTTAGCAACCAGAAAATGACACTAGTAAGGACAAACAGATGAGAATGCTGCGTGGGGTCTGGGTGCCGTGTTGGCGGGACGTTGCGGGGCTCGCTGCTGCGAGGAGCGGACAGTGTGAGCTGGGTTCATTTCCCGCTTGCTGCGTGGGGTTTGCGAGACAGCGAGACATCGCGAATGGACGCGGGAGGGTGCTGAGGGGGCTGCAGCACCCCCATCTGCGAGGCTCCACTAGCACCCGGAGATAGGAGAGTCCACTAGACTCTCCTATTATTACTTTTACTTAAGTAAACGATCTTAGTATTTTTACCACGACATCATGCCCCATGTGTTTGTGTGTTTTTTGAAAAGTAGAGGTACAAAGAGGGCGTACCTGAGGCTGGAGCAGCGGTAACGATCATGGCTATCTGAGCTTGGAGTTTGAGCAGCTGACTCTCCAGTGCTGTGATCTTCTGCAGGGCGTCCAGGTCGGTGGTCTGCCTCAGAGGACCGCCTCCTCTCTGGGCTTTACTCTGGGGCGGGTACCTCAACACTTCCCGATTTACAGTACTTTGCTTCTTCGGAAGTAAATGGTTCCTTTGGAGATAATGCATCAGTGTAATATTTAACATACTTCCACTCAAAATAATCAAATCCAAATGTGTGTTTTCAAAGCTGCAAAATACAAACATCGATACATTTCTATGGCAAAAATAGAGGTAAACAGTTTTCAAGATGCCCTAAACACTTTAAGGAAAATGTTGCCACCTGAAAGTAGTGACCAAATTATTTTGAGTATGATAAAACAGCGCAGTTGATCTCACTAGCTGAGTGTTACACCTTTGTTGGGTGTAATAATGTAATAAACCACCGAACAACTTTTGAATTATTCTCTAGATATGGTTTTCTGCACTGGGAAACATGACCTTGCCTGAGTTAGTCCTGTGTCTATTTGTGTCCGTACCTGGTCTTGGCGAAATTCTCCCCCTCATCCTCAAACACCCAGAGGACGTCAGCGAACGAGGGGATGGACTTCGTCTCCACAGTCATGTCCACATAACCGTGCGGCTTATAGGAGAGCAGAGGGACCTGGGGACCAAATATGGACATTGATAAATTACACCGTGACCTTGACTGGAGAAAATATATCAGAGAAAACACTTGAGTTTGGTCAAAATGTCAACACGATTATGCTGAACGGGGTTCCCAAGCCTTGTTTGAACATCTAATTCATGACTTTTCAAGGACTTTCAACTTTCCAGGCCACTTTTGTATAAATTCAAGGATCCAACATGGCATAACTTGAGACACAAATAATTAACTGTTTCAACACAGAATTTGTAGACTGCAGAAAATTGCCTTTTTATTAACTTATACGTTATAATTTTAAGAACTTCAATTTCTATTCTTGCACAACATACTGTATATGAATTCAAGCAGTCTCTATGACCCCTGTCTATGTATGTCAATAATCAAGGCCTCGTTTCCCCCCGATAAATTCACAAGCTACAAAAGTTTTCAAGGCCTCTTGGTAACAATGGCAGAGGAAGGAGTGTAAAAAAACAAAGGAGAACCAAGGAAGGTCAGAACAGGTAAATATTTGTGTGTCAAATTAAAAATAATATACACTGAAGAACAAGTACTTAAGCTCAGCATTTGGCCATAGTTACACCTGGCTGTGCTGAATTTGATGAGGTTATGTATAATTTTAGATAATCTTCCGTATGTTCGGAAACACGAGTGGTTCAGTACCTGAAAGTGGATGCGTGGTGCAGGGGTCAGAGGGAGGTTTGTCCCAATCATCCGCACGATGCTGCGATACTGACCGCACAGATCACTGTCCCACACTGGAACCAGCTGCAAGAAAGAAAACACACACACACAAAACATTCTTGGTTAAAATGTGCCATCCTTAAAAACTCACTTGGTAGCTTTAAGAGAACAAAGGGACAATAAATGTGACACCTGACACCAAAAACACAAGAAGACCATAGTTGTAACAGTAGCGTTTGTGCACTCACCATGTCTGGAGGCACTCCAAAATACTCCAGGACGGCATGCATCAAATCCAGAATATCCTCGACTAAAGACATTGTAAGGACTTTTTGAAGCACCAGCTGATGACTGCAAAGCTCCTCTTTCTGCTGACTAACTTGGTCAGAGGCCAACACAGAATGGATGCCACTGAGTCACATACTTTACACCTGAAACAAAACAAAAACATACAGCACTTAGGCTATTGAACAAAACACAATAAAGTCAGAACTAGAATCCATCAAGAGATACAAAATGTTTTTGTAGTTAGGGTTAGGGTAAGACAAACTTCTAACATGAATAAAACAATAACAAAATCAAAACAACGTCCACTCAAATGCAAGAATTGAAGAGTGTGTTTTCATCTCAGTCTGATTCAGAAGAACTTATTTTTATCTTTAGTAGGTTTGGCTACTGTAGTGTTTCCTTAATGGGAGGAGACAGCCGCAGCTGACTCAGAATGCTGCCGTTTGTCTTCACAGAGACCAATAAAGCAGACTACATCAGTCCAGCTCTAAGAGAGGTACTCTGGCTTCCTGTGGTCAAATAAATGATATAATAGCCCTGTTGGATTCTGCATTGATCATATATATTTCAACTTTGGCTTCTGTTTTCTATTGTATTGTTATATTTTAAAATGATACTGTATGTGCAGCTGAATGTGTGAATCAAAACAGGTCTTACATCGAAGTGAATGGTGTATTAAATTGTGAGATTAGTCTTTAAACCTCCCCCATACACCTTTAACTAGGTTCACAAGTGCAGGTCTCCCTTGAAAAAGAGGTCAATGATCTCAATGGGATACAACCTGAATAAATAAAGGTTTGAAATGAAATGAAACAAGGAAACAGATGCAAACACAGGAAACACCCATTGTGGTTTCATTTCATTTCCACAGCTAGAGGCGATTAATTAAAAATAAAAACCTATTTCTATGCTATCAAACTTTAATTCCAGTAGCCCCTGGAGTCCATTATCAATGCAGCTGTTTGTGTCTCTGTTGACATCACATACTGATGCTCCGGTTGACCATAGTGTCCCTCTGTACGGTTGGATGCTGACTCGGCTGTGAGTCCATAAATGTAATACAATTGGATCAGCACAGCGGGTTCAGAGTACATTTTTGTTTTAACCTCAACAGAGTAACCTTTCTGTGTGGGGGAAGTGCAAGTTCCCCTCACAGGCAGCGCAGTGTCCCACAGAAAAGAGGTAAAGAGGCTGTAAAGTAAACTGCTATACCAGGAGACATGCGGTATAAACGAAACTATATATCTACTTACCGTGGAGATTTCTTGAAAAAACATGCACTAGGAGCTACATTTGTCCGACATCTTCATTTTAACCTAATATATCAACTGTAACTGCAGATAAACACTTCGAACGTGCAGATTTCTCCCAGCTCACGAGTCCAAGCAGCGAGTCTGTGTGAAGTCAAATAAAGCCGCAGTAGCAAAAGCTCCTCTGATTGGATAGAAATAGAGAACTAGTATGAGGACCCAGTAGGAGCGGTCGATCGTGCAGCAGTGGCAACGGCTGCTCGACCAATTGCGTGTCACGAAAATCCTAACATCAAATTTGTATTTGTGTGCACGAGCGTCTTCCTGTACTTGGTAAGAAACAACACAAAAACTAAATTTTACCATCTATATTTCACTACCTAGACGCGCGTATTATCATGTGTTGAAGTATCGCATATTTGTGTGTTCAAATGGTGAACATAAACAAATTAAAAGGGGCTTTTGTTAAGTTCTGCAGCTTCTTCCCGTTTCAAAAGTTGCTAACTTTAGCTTATTTAGCTAGCCACAACGTTAGCTAGCACGTTGACCCCGACAGGACAAGCTTGAATCACTGTTTATAAAGTAGCTTCTTACCTCGAGAACCCAGCCTTAAATCATACGCTAGTAACGGTAACGTTAACCTACTTGACCGTAATATTTCCTCTGTTTTATAATTAGGCTAACGTAAGTCCAACGTTCGCCACACACAAAACAGTTTGTCCGTATCAGGCTAACGGTAAAACACATTTTACTTGATATCTTCAGTTTCAGATCTGGTAGTTAACCGAAGTTAACAACAATGATGGATGCTCTGTCGGTGGTTACTCAGCTGCGGGACCTGGCATCTGAACCGCAGAACCGAGATGTGATCGTCCAGGATCAGGGCTGTCTCCCCGGGCTGGTTCTCTTCCTGGACCACCAGAACACAGACGTGCTTTTTGCAACTCTTCAGGTGGGTGAAAGATGCTGGACTGGTGCTGATCCGTGTTGTACTGCCCTCCTGCCAAATACTCTTTAAAGGACCAATGTTCTCTCAAATGTGGTGCATTTCTTAATACTTTTCTGCCTTTGTCCTCAGACCTTGCGCTACTTGGCTGAGTTGTCCCCCAACATCCCCACCATGAAGAATGAACTGGGTATGATGGTGAGCTTGGAGAATCTAATTGTAAGGTGAGGGATTGTTTTTTTACTCCTGTGCACTGGTGTTTTTTTTTAGATAAGAGTATTTTCTTGGCATGTAATTGTACTTGACATTTCCAGTAAGAGTGGTTTGAGCTGTCAACTGTAATGATTCCTAATGCTGTTTTGTTGTACCATCTTAAGTTTAAGCATAGAATTATATGTACTTAAACATTAGAAGTGAATGGGAAAGCCTAATAGTTATCACCCTAAATGTTGACTCAGAATTGTGGGGGGGCAATAATTAAATATTATATGTCTTTATTTAGGCATGGCCTGTCTGTTGACATCACATCCTTGGCTCAGGAGGTGTATGGTGTTCTGACTGCACCTGCTAAACCCATCCCCCGCACGCCTGAGAGGGAGAGGAGAAAGAAACCCCAGTTCTTTATCAACTCCTCTCAAAAGAAGGCCAAGTCTGTCACTCTGCACATCAACGGCCTGGACAGCACTGTGAGTAGACTGACCGACACATGCAAGACAGTGACTATTATTATCAAATGCTGCAACTAATACATTTTCTCTTATAGGACCAGCGAAGCTTGTGTGAGGAGGCTCTTCTGAAGGTCAGAGGGGTGATCAGCTTCACCTTCCAGATGGCTACCAAGAGATGCACCGTCCGCATCCGTTCAGACCTGCCCACTGAGGTAACGCACCGACACATTTACTATCAGGGGCTGCTGAGGAAGAAACCAGCCTGTTCAAAAATGAGTTGTATTCCTCTAGTTGTAGTCAACATTTGTATTATTGCATTATCAAAGCAACTCATATATAACTTATATACACATGGTGCGGGTGAACACTTTATATCTGATCTCCGCCTATTGTTTTTCAGAGTCTGGCATCAGCCATCGCAGCCACTCAGGTGCTGTCGGCCCAGCAGGTGGTGAAGAATGAGGCGGGAGAAGAGGTGAGTGGTGGTGCTAGATCACTTATTTTGTTTAGCAGCATTTTTGAGTATCCATACAATACACCTCAATTGTTGGCTTGATTTAAAAATGTGTTCTTAACTTCTCTCAATCATTTTTGTATCTACAGGTTTTGGTCCCTCTAGATGCATCTGGAGTGGACGTCCAGAAGAACTCAGCTATCCCAGACTACCTCCCAGAAGAAGAGGAGAGCCCAGAGAAGGAGGTGGACCGAGCGATTTCCCGCACCACAGCTAAAGAAGATTCCAGTGGAAGCTGGCTCAACGCCGCCGCCGGTTTCCTCAGCAAAACGTTCTACTGGTGATACTGCTGCAGTTCAAATCCCAGAGTTCCAGTGGCACAGAGTTGTGGAATACAGCTGCTGTGTATATAACTAGAGTGGACATCACTGGAGGTTAGCACCCCTCGGGCTAACATCCTGGCTTTGTGTGGACTTCACCAACAGTCATCATTTGTTGTGAAAAACTAGAATGACCCAGATGTGCATAAGCACTTCTGGTTAAGCTATATTCTGGTTAACTAGTTGAATAGAGGATCATACACTTGAAAGCACATTTTGTCTCTGGACCTGCGTATATGCTGATTTCTATCCACTATTTTCATAAAGTGTAAATATTTTCTTATTCTTTCTTTGTCTCTCTACATGTAAGAAAAACAACTTTAAAGACTTTTTCTACTTTGACACTGATTGAAAAGTATTTTCTGTAAAAAAGCTGTATGTTGCTAGTTATTTTGGTTCATGCTAAAATAAATCTGCTACATGTTTTAAATGCACCATTTCTACTCTTATTCAGTATTTTGGACCAAAAAGTCAGACAAAAACATTGAAGAAGAAGAAGATTCAACTTATTGTCATCACATAGTACAGGTACTATGCAACGAAACGGTTTCTCTGCATTTGACCCATCCTAGTGTTAGGAGCAGTGGGCTGCCATTATGTACGGCGCCCGGGGAGCAGTGTAGGGAACGGTGCCTTGCTCAGGGACACCTCGGGAGCACTTGGTCTTTCCGGGACTTGAACTGGTGACCTTCCAGTTGCCAAGCCAAGTCCCTATGGACTTCGCCACCACCGCCCAATTGCAATACCAATGAATCAGTGAATCGTCAATTCAAAACGTTTTATTTACTTGCCAGCAGTTGTACAGTGATCAGTTTTACAGTGGTTCACAGATCTCCCACAGCCCCTCTTCGTAGTAAAAGCTTTCCAGTTTTCAAAGCCTTGTGTTCTTAGTCAGTCTTAGTAAAATATATCAGCTTTTAAACATAATTTATAGGATATGTATGTATAACGTCATTTACAAGCAGTTTATTTTCAAGCTTTGACCACATTGAACAGCATGCTATGTACCACTGGCAGAAACCAGCACTACATAAACAAGACATGAGGAATCTTTCTGGAGTTTACCCCCATTTTTGGTGGTACTGCAATATTATAACTAAGAGGAAAGTGCAGAGGTTCGAGAACCAAATGCTAAGAGAGTAGAAAGGACAGATAGCTTTGACATTATAGCCTTTACATGATGACATTTCATCACAGGCTTTGATATTTGTTAACATAAATCAAGCAGAAGTCACTGGAGAGTTATGGCATGTGTCCAAAATGTCAAAGCTCACGCTGGGAATGCATATCTTCACTTGAGTGAGAGAGACAAGTGACATCATACTTGCCACAATGCGGTAAGGCAAAGGAACAAAATTAGCAGCATTTCTTCTTATAATTCCTCAATCAACAAAAGATTAAATTATTTTAACATTACCACCATATTAGTTAACTCATTTTGTATTTGCTTGGCCAAAACAAAAGTCAGCGATGGGATAAATGTAAAGGGTAAACGACAGGAAAGGGGTTTAACGACAAAGCAGATTTTTTCTGCTCAATTTAAACAGAGTATGGAGGACAAAACAAAGAATCACATTTCATCTGAACAGCAATTAAATAAAACTAAACAAATCATTTTACGAACAGTATTTTCTTTTTGTCGTTATTTAACTTCAACGCCCACATTAATAACTTCCTAGTCTTAAACACTGTAGACTCAGCAAAAATATATTACATGACACTTTCCTGTAGTCATAATACAACTTCATGCACCGACTTCCTTCCTATATCTCTTCAGTAACATTTCAATAGAAACGTTGAAACTTGAGAATCATGAGGTTTCGGGTCAAAGAGATAAAACGCGTTAATGAAACCGTGTCATTCGGAGCCTGTTGTGCGAGTTCCAGTTATAACGCCACATTATGTCCGATTACAGTGTGTTCTACAGTAACAACAAAAAAAATCTCTTCAAGTATCAGGGCTGAAGACTTTACAGCTGATCTCAGTTTACATTATTATTAATCTCTCATTCATTCACACACATTTAGAGAGTCACGAGGTGGCATTCGATGCTCCTGTGATTTCAGATTCACTTCAGAATCGGGGGGGTTTGGGGCTGTACACAGAACGTAATGACAGAGTGATGGGAGACAGAGAGAGCGTCTGTTCCTCAGAGAGTTTGCTCGGGGGGGGAAAGTAACTTCTTTCTGGGGAGGCTTTAGGCAGATCTTTGGAAACTCCATCTTTGGGAAGTGGCCGCGTTTTCTCTTCTGTCGCGGGAGGGAGAGAAAGTAGTCCTCTGGAAGGGTCTCGCTTTGATAACAGCCCTATGTTACCGCTCTGTGGCCATCTCACTTCCTGTCTCTCTGGGTGTGGAATCACGTCGGCCTAACAGGGCATCAGGCAACGTCTAAAAACCAAGAGCAACAGAATGAAAACAGGGAATGGTACATTGCTTCAGTGTAGAAAAAGGAAAAATAGACTAATATATTTCATAAAGAGGACAGCTACTGACCGGGTCCCTGCTGGGCTGATATGTCCTCTGCTCCGCTCAGAGGCTTTAGGAGGCCGTTCTCCCTGAAGGCTATGACAGGAACTCTCCCCTCCTCATGCTGCTGCTCCTCCTCTCCCTCAGGAGGAGACAGCCTGGAATGTGAAGGCAGTACGATCACCTCCTCAAACTCCCCGTTCTCCCTGGAATAACAGAGGACAGAGAGGAACAGTTATTGATGTGACGGACAATAGGTGAGACTTAGAAAAGTTTTTCTCAGTTACTCAGAAACTATTGCCTATACCAAACACATGTTTATATCCTCAACTTACATTGGCCTTTTAATTCCCCTTCCCATTTAAATATGATTACATTTGAGATATTGGTCACAAAATGTATTCAAAGTCAGATTTCGCAACTGAAAGCTGGCAGAGTTGCAACAAATTTAAAATACATACAATTTCACTATTTAACTGTTACTTTGTTATCTCAATAACCATAGTATTCTTAAAAGATGTATTGTTTACAGTACATGAACATTACAGTTTTATTCATCTATACAATATTATTATAGTATTCTTTTCTTGTACAAAACAGATTTTTGTCACACTCCAGTAAATATGAACTGCGACCTGGGGTTTCCTGAAACATTTGCAGACATACCAATTCAAATGTTTTCAATTCATAACTCTACCTCTGGTCAGTATGGCTCAGTGCTGAGGTTTCAGGGTCTGGTTGACCACCGTTGCTATTGAGTGACGGTGAGGGGGTTACTGCAGATGGACTGGGAGTGGCAGGGGTCTCTGATGATAAGAGGAAACACACACAGAAGTCAGAAACAGCAACATGGGGGACAGCTTCCCCTCTGCTACCGGCCTCATCAACAAGGCCCGGGACCCACACTGACACTGACTTCTTATCCACCCAAAAACATTATGCATTACATTAATGCACATCATGTGAACAATATCTTGTTGTTTTCTGTCTTTTTTTTTTAATACTGTGAGCCATGCTCAACTCTCTGACTGCCTTTTGCACATCCTCCACTTTAAAATATAACACACTGTAGTTTGCCATATATACTCATTGTCCTAAGTGTTTTTGTTTGTTAACTTTTAAGGTTATTTGTATAGTTACATTTAGTGTAAATACTTGTCTTTAGCATCCTCTTTTAATGCTAAATTGTTTCTTAAAAATACTTATTTTTTGTATCCTTTATTTCTTACCTTCTTTTGCAACTTATTTATTTAGATTGTTTATGTTCACACCACCAGATATACCAAAGCAAATGCCTTCCCTGTTGTACCAAATGGTGACACAGGGAAGTTATATTCCTGCAGAATTCAGAATTCAATATTTATTTTTATAAATTGTAAAATTATGTATGTACAATGGCCAGGGTATTATTATTCTTCACCTACAATGGCTCTATAACCTTGCCATATGTCTGATTGTATGAAGATGCATTTGGTTACCTGCATTTTCTCCATTTCTGTTGGGAACAACTTTCTAAAGAAGGGAAACAATACAGAGAAAGAATGAACACTCAGAAACAACATAGAATCTTCATTTCCTTTCAGAAACCACATCTCGTTCAGGCGTTACCTTCTCTGATGGGTCTGCACGTCTTGTTCTCTTCATGATCTCATCCAGACGCTGGTGAAGAAAAAAGAAGAGTGTTTACATGCACTGCACATGAGGAATAACATGAATGATGAAATGTGTGTATATGTGTGTGAAAGTGCATCACCTTTTTCCTTTCTAAGCGTTCAGCCTCTTCTTTCTGGAAGTGTTTCTCTCTCTCCTTCCTCAGCCGCTCTGCCTCCTCCTTCTGTCGCGACTCTTCCTCCTCTTTCTAACACACAGGTACACACATCAAGCGTTTACATTTCCTGAGAGAGGGCAAGTTGAGTTGCGCCTCCAGTGAACACTCCTCTCACCTGTTTCTGGAGTTTCTCCGCCTCCTCTTTCTCTTTCTGAAGTCTCTCTTCCTCGCCCTTTCTCTCCTCCTCCTCCTTTTTCTTCCTCGTCTCCTCTCCCTGACGCTGAGCCTCCTCCTCTCTCTTCACTCGCTCCTCTGCCTTACGGCGAGCCATCTCTTCCTGCGCTATCCTGTACAAGAAAGGGAAAGGAATCAGAGGAGGATGCAGAGGCACACACCTTGCACACCACTCGTTAGAGCCATTTTGTTTTCATAAGAAAGGCCACCTAATTGTGACTTCTGTAGTCAACCAGAGTATAAAAGACTACAATTCCCATGGCAACAAGGTGACAGAGTGGGGAACCTGTTAGAAAGACGCCGTCGAGGAACAGTTTTTAACCGTTCAATTACCCTTTAAGTTATATACAAGCCTTAACAAAGAAAGAAAGCAAGAAAGAAAGAATACCTAAGTTGTTTGTTATTTTTATTTGAGTTTTGCCTGTTTGTTTTGACTATTGTAAAGGCCTCTTTTCTTTGTTGCATGTGGCCATCGGAGGCCAAGCAACTCATCAACTGTAAGTAACACAAATATAAAGGAAAGACAAACGAGTCAGAAATGTCAGTTTAAGGCGTCTAGTGGCTTGATAGAAAAGGAAGGAAGGAAGCCACGACACCACTCTTGATCACAACAGTTTACCTCCGCTGCTCCTCCTGCTGCTTGCGCTCCTCCTCCTCTCTCTCCCTCTGCTCTCGGGCCAGTCTGCGATTCTCAGCCAGGATACGACTCGCCTCCTCTGGATCTGACGTGCCTGCTGAGGTCTTGTGGGCTGGAGGGCTGCTTGCACTCTCTAAAAAGGCATCATAATTCAGATTTTGGCCATTGTATCTTATAAAACTCACTAATAAAAAGACACTCCATGACGCTGTGTGTAACTGACCTGGTGTCTGCTCGCTGCCGCTCCTGTTCTGACCCAGCGGCTGAGGGCGAGGCTGAGGAGGACTGAGGACCTGCTCTTCCTCCTCCTCTCCTGGGGCTCTGGTGGGTTGGGGACTCGCGTGTGGGACCCTGAAAGGACGAAGATTTCCAGGGTCTTCTGCCCCCGGAGACTTAAGCTGCTTTGGGGTGGGTGGGCGCCCTGGGGACTTTTGTGGAGGCCTGTGTGCAGGAAGCAGCAGTTGACAAAAAGTACTGACTAACACTACATACTGATATACACCTGAACATCAGCAGGAGAGGACTCTTTAAAGTAGAGACACTACATACTGATATACACCTGAACATCAGCAGGAGAGGACTCTTTAAAGTAGATACACTACATACTGATATACACCTGAACATCAGCAGGAAAGAGGACTCTTTAAAGTAGAGACACTACATACTGATATACACCTGAACATCAGCAGGAGAGGACTCTTTAAAGTAGAGACACTACATACTGATATACACCTGAACATCAGCAGGAGAGGACTCTTTAAAGTAGAGACACTACATACTGATATACACCTGAACATCAGCAGGAGAGGACTCTTTAAAGTAGAGACACTACATACTGATATACACCTGAACATCAGCAGGAAAGAGGACTCTTTAAAGTAGAGACACTACATACTGATATACACCTGAACATCAGCAGGAGAGGACTCTTTAAAGTAGAGACACTACATACTGATATACACCTGAACATCAGCAGGAGAGGACTCTTTAAAGTAGAGACACTACATACTGATATACACCTGAACATCAGCAGGAGAGGACTCTTTAAAGTAGATACACTACATACTGATATACACCTGAACATCAGCAGGAAAGAGGACTCTTTAAAGTAGAGACACTACATACTGATATACACCTGCACATCAGCAGGAGAGGACTCTTTAAAGTAGAGACACTACATACTGATATACACCTGAACATCAGCAGGAGAGGGACTCTTTAAAGTAGAGACACTACATACTGATATACACCTGAACATCAGCAGGAGAGGGACTCTTTAAAGTAGAGACACTACATACTGATATACACCTGAACATCAGCAGGAAAGAGGACTCTTTAAAGTAGAGACACTACATACTGATATACACCTGAACATCAGCAGGAGAGGACTCTTTAAAGTAGAGACACTACATACTGATATACACCTGAACATCAGCAGGAGAGGACTCTTTAAAGTAGAGACACTACATACTGATATACACCTGAACATCAGCAGGAGAGGACTCTTTAAAGTAGATACACTACATACTGATATACACCTGAACATCAGCAGGAAAGAGGACTCTTTAAAGTAGAGACACTACATACTGATATACACCTGCACATCAGCAGGAGAGGACTCTTTAAAGTAGAGACACTACATACTGATATACACCTGAACATCAGCAGGAGAGGGACTCTTTAAAGTAGAGACACTACATACTGATATACACCTGAACATCAGCAGGAGAGGACTATTTAAAGTAGAGACACTACATACTGATATACACCTGAACATCAGCAGGAGAGGACTCTTTAAAGTAGAGACACTACATACTGATATACACCTGAACATCAGCAGGAGAGAGGACTCTTTAAAGTAGAGACACTACATACTGATATACACCTGAACATCAGCAGGAGAGGACTCTTTAAAGTAGAGACACTACATACTGATATACACCTGAACATCAGCAGGAGAGGACTCTTTAATGTAGAGAACACATGTATTTCTACTAGTAATGAGTCACACAATTTTAACCTTTAAGCTATACTTTTGCGCACAACTTTCAAAGTTGTTACACCATCCGTAGCCCACCCAACTCCCAATAATCCATTACTCACATTCCTCACAAATCTGCTTATATGGCTCTATTGATCAGGGATCATGGGTGAGTTCTCCTACCTGCCAGGAGGAGGCGCTGTCACTTTTCTGTTCCTTTTGCCTGGAGAAGAGGAGCGCTTGTTGGGGGGCAAAGTCAGAACGGGAGCCAATGGGAGAGACAGGTTGCTCCATGACTTCCTGACATTGTCCCGGTCCTTACGCTATTGGTGCAGGAGATATAGGGAAATAATTATATGAACAAATATTATTACTTTTCAAAATGGGTTTTCTTTTTCAAGTGAGAAGCATGGCACAGAAAATTGTTCTTCAGAAAAATGTCCTTAGAAACACAAAGTATTATGGTGGTGTCTTACTGCCAGCAGCAAAAGATGATCAGTAACAGGATTAGACTCAAACAGCCTTCCACTGGCCATGTGTAACCTCTGGCATCAAGCCATGACACCAATGATTAAAACAATCAAACTATTGACACAACTAAAAATCACCTTCTCTCAATAAGCAGATAATATGCCCTGTGAGTTGAAACGTTTGAAGAGGAGGCACAACAAAAGACGAACAATAACAATGACTTACAGTTTATCGTGTCTAGACATTATGTCCCAAACAGAAAGTGACTGGTATATCATTGTTATGCTGTATAATTAATGTGCACATGTATGGTTTATGCATGTGTCTCTGGGTCTGTGTGGCATATAAAGTACAGAGGACGTCCTCCTTCTAAGACCTTAATGGTATAAGCTGTGACACAGCAGTAGACAGATGGACTGTGTGAACAGTGACACGTGTGTGTGCGTGCGTGCAGAGTCACACAGATACTCTGACAGACTGTGTCCGACTGATCTGGGGCATCATAGGTATAACAACGTATGAAATATGTAGAGGAGCAAAATGCAGTGAATCATGAGAATAGTAAGACACCAAACCTTAACAGCACTAGAACGGCACTATGAGATCAGACCTCCGCCAAAGCAAATGGTGCATTCATGTGCTTGTCGGCTGGTTCCATTTCACGAAATAGAAGTGTTTTTCTTGATTTTGGTGTGGTTAAGCTTTAATGTTAAAACAACTAACACGCTACAAAGAAGATGCTACACTCTGAAATCTGTTTATAAGTTGTTGTTCCAACTTAAGGATGGCGTTGAAGTACATTTTTCCAGTGCCACATGAATGCAGCACATATGCACATCTGGCAATGTTAAACCTAATGTTAAATGAATTAAATTGTCATGAATAGCATATCATTTATTGACTTATGGCCAATACTATGTATTGTAAGGTCACAGTAACCTGCTACCACTAATCAAATCAGTTCCTTATTGAGTACAAGTGAATGTTTTCAAGAAATACCTGTTCCAGACAATAGGACACATGAATAGACAACCTGAATACATAATCGTGGCATTGGGGATCAATGCTGCTAAAAAGAGGAGGAATTGAGTTTTTTTCCCCCATTACATAAGCATACAAGCACCAGAATTTGTCACAGTTTATATACAATTTTGCAAATGTCTTGGGTCAAACACAGGTGCAGGTTGAGGACAGGACCCACCTGTGTGCTGCCGGTGGTCCTCCTGCGAGCAGTGGTGGGGGCAGAGGACCCCGTCCCCCGGCTGAGGCTCCTCTCCTGGCTGCGGCAGTGAGGCAGCGGCTGGGCCTGCAGGGCTTTGAAGGACATGGAGCCCATGGGGTGGCAGGACACTGAGCGAGGACAAACAGGTATGGCTACGGTGATGCACGAGGTGGGAGTTCGGAGTGTTTAAAGGAGGGTATGGAGCAGGGCAAGGCGGGCGGTCGGGGAGCGAGAGTTTGATTAACAGGAGCAAGGAGCGAGAGATTGGGGAGGAGAAGAAGGAATGAGAAGGATGTACGATGATTATTAAGGAAAAGCAGTGAGGTTGGGGTAGAAGAAGAGGATTGAGAGAAATATAAGTATGGTGAAAAAAGAGAAGAGAAAGAAGCCGTTAGTGCTACTGACTGGAAGCAAAACTACTAATGTAATGCAACCATCACTTGGGAACTGAATCTCAAATAATTTTATATTATAATTGAATGCACGATTAAGTTGGCCCGATTGGATAGTAAAGAGATTTGATTTAAACCACAATTTCACATTCACTTTGTGCTATTTTAAATTATTAAAATGATCAAAACCAATCAGAAAATATAAATAGTCCCAGTGTTGGAAGCATTTTTACATGGAAAGCCATTCAGTCATAATGAACTATTTATTATTGATGCATTAGACCCCACACAGAGGAAGGGAGCATGCAGAATAATACACAAATCACAAGAGGTGCACCTCCACTAACTGTAGACAATGTTGAATGTTGTAAAAGTGTGCAGATTAGAGAAAGCAATTAAAGGAGTATGCAAGCGTTCAAAATGTGATTATTCAAAAAAAAAAACACACAAGGAAAAACAGCAATGCACAACAATACAAAAAAACGTCAGAAGAAGAAAAAACAATCATTCATTCATGGCAATTTAAAAAAGGTAACATAGAGAACCCCCCAAAATGAAGGATAATTGTACGTCATTTTGCGTGACCGTTCCTTCTTATGTCATAATTCCTTTTCATCAGGTGTTATTTTACCATAATAGCAAGCTCGACTGCGTTTCCAGTCGCTCGTGAGGATATTCACAACAGTCACTATATTTAGAATATGCCACTATCAACACATTGTGTTTTTTTCATCACAATCCGCGATAAAATCCAATATCTTTCCATCCCCGATCAAAACATATACTTAAATGTACAGGCATATTATAGCACATGGCTTTACAAAAAGAAGTATTGCAAACACACACACACACACTGTCCAAAGCAATCGTATTGTGTGTGTGTTGACGTGTGTGTGTTTACGTGTGTTTGAGCTTTGAGTGCCTGATACAGCCTGGTGAGGGAGGTTTCAGACAGTGTAATTCTTTGAGTCTGGCCAAATCTGATTAACATCCCTAACTGTTCTGGTCAAGAGGGCAAAACATCAACAGCCTTAATACTTTGTGCATCGTGAGCAGTGATCCCCTGTTTGAATGGTTCACTCACTACTGCCTGTAAGAGCCGGGGGGGGGGGGGGGATACCTGTTTGATCTCCAGACAGACTCATGGCACTGCGGCTCCGAGCCAGGTAGGAGTGTGTGGGCTGCTGCAGGCGGTTGACCACGTTGCTCTCCCATGGCGTCAGGGGCAGATGGCGCATTCCTGAGTGTACACACACACACACACACTTATTACATTGAAGGTTTTCTAACAACTCAAACTATTTACCGCCCACTGATTAGCCGGAGCAGTCAGTCAAAGCAGATTATAAATAATGCGTCATTACTGTATTTGCTACTCCTTCCTTCCCTCGCGCCACACTGCAGTGTAGGCGAGAGCTTAAGAGAAGTCGTAACAATGCACAGGCTGTTACACCTACACCTGCATGCGCCACTTTGTTAATGTGAAGGGAAGCAAACAACATGTGGAGCGCAAACCGAGAGCAAACACAGGGAGGAGAGCAAACACAGGGAGGAGAGCATTCAGGTAAACAGTGCAGATCAAAGGAAATATAGCATCTGCGTTTTTAGGAAAATCTCACTTAAGCACACAGAAATCCATAATTCATTTAGCAAATAGTTAAAGAAGTGCTGAAAGCTTTAATGCAAGCACATTTAAATATTTAGCCATGCAGTCTTTAGTACCAGAGCAGGTACATCATTTGTAGCTTATTAAGCATAAATCATAAATCTTCATTTTAACCTGATTTGCCACTTAAAAAAGACAAAAGGACAGATTATCAGGCAAAACATGCAGCACTGCTCGCTCTGATAGTGGATAAGGTTGCAGGTGAGGGTCAAAGATACAACTGGGCTGGAAACTGTGCAAAGGAACCTGAGTCTCTGATCTACACCACTTTGTATTCAAACAGTGGTTTCAGAGTCGGGTTACACTCAGTTAAAAAAATGTGTGCAGTTAGTTTTGGTACGTGATTACATTATATGTATATAATTATGTGCACGTCTGATTGTTGAAATGTGGGTGTTGATTTTTCAGCTGGGATAAAATCGGCATACATGTACAGTGTTCCCACAAAAACAAAAAGATTATCCGACAGAGGATTAGAGAAAGGGGTCACGGCAGAGGGGGGGAAAAAAATGTTGATCCTTCTGATGAAAAAGTGGAAGCACATGCACATAGAGTATATAGTAAATGCGTTTTGATCCTCTTATTTCATATATTACAGTAGTGTAGGACTTCCAAAAGCTTCAATGATGCAATGATTTTTTTTCTGTGAGAGTAAGCAAACAACAACTTTCTGTTTGTTCCTCAACAGTTTCCAGCCCATAATCTTTTTGTTTGCAACAGTGTTAAACTTATAATATAGGGGACCAAGCTGTTAAAAGTTCCCAAAAGACACCTGTGTTTTTGTGCTGAGTGGTCGTTCCCTGGTGAAGGCGGGATTTGGACTGAGCTTTGCTAATGACAGGAGACGAAGCTGTCCTCATCTGTAAGCCTGTCAGCAAACATATCAACATCAAAGATCAAACATCAAAGAATACATGATGTAATGGTTACACAAGAACTTAACAGTTTATGTGTGTGTGTGTGTATATATATATATATATATATATATATATATATATATATATATATATATATATATATATATATGTATATGTATATGTATATGTATATGTATATGTATATATATATATATATATATATATATATATATATATATATATATATATATATACACACTCAAAGAACTGTTGACATTCTGAGAACTTTCTGTCTGACAGTTAGATGAGGAGATACCTCTCCCATAGCTGCCCTTTAAATATAAGGATACAGCTACTGTAGCAGTGTGTTAGCTTAGCATAAAGACTATAAAAGAAAAAGTGTAAAAAAGCTAGCCTGGTTCTTCACAAAGGTATATAATAAGAGGTATATTATAAGCTTAACCGTTTTTGAAATGACTGATTACAACATAGTATCTTGTTTGTTTAATCCTTAAAGAAGCCTAAGTGTAAAAAAACAACAAGTAGAGGTTTTATGGGGTTCTATTTGCCAGTTTTTTTGTCTTGATGCAGTGACTTCCTAAAGTCTCTGCTGCCTGGCAACCTTATGACAACAACTTTTTTGTGCAGATAAACCAACAAGATATAACGTGTTAATTAATCTTTAAAGATTGCATTTCTTATGTTTGCACAGAGCTAACTGTCTTTAGCAGTTTCCTAATTTCCAGTCTTTATGTCTAGTCATGCTAAGCTATCTGTAGCTTCATATTTACTGTACAGATTTTTTCATCTAGTAGTGTAGTAGTGTATATCGCAAAATGCTGAACCAACTTTAATGTATTATTGTGTTAATTGTCTATATAATATCCCCCTAATCATCATTAGGAAATAAAAGCAACAAAAATGTGCACTTAGACGGTCACAAGAGTTACATCACAGATGACACAAGACACAGCCAAAGTTAGTGGATAATGTATTGAATAATATTGAATAATACCTCGGTCTGGTGAGTGTAGGAGTGTGGCAGAGGAGTAGGAGAGGCGCTTGGTTATAACAGGGTCTGTGTGTTTGGATAAATTCATTGTGGACACTGACCGCCTGTCAGCATCTAGAAGAGGAAACATGATAAAAAGAAAATTACTGATGACTGAAGAGTTGGTCTTGAAGAAAGAGAGCGGGGGAAGAGAGCAGGAGCTGGAGCCAGCAATCCCACTTTTGGCGCATTTCCACTACAGCGCGGAGCTCGCTTTAAGCGTGCCGTGCCCGGCCCGTTTTTGGTTGCGTTTCCGTAGTTCCGGCTAGCGGGTACTATTTCACAGTTTTTCTGGCCCCATAAAATCGAGGTTCTTTCCGGGCCAACAACCAGGCTGAGTCGGGCTGAGTATGCTAAACTAGAGAGAGCATCGCTGGCAAGGGGGCTACAACTACAACAAAATGAACATATTTGACCGTGATTTAATTGTAATACACGTTTCAAAATGATGCCGAAGTAACAACATACTGATACCGGTTAGTAAAAACCATGAATTAATGCTTTGACAAGTCTGCAGACAGACGGCAGGCGAAAAACCTTTTAAAATGCGTGTTTTCTAAATGGAGATTGGCTAAGCTAACGCAGTATATGCTCCAACCGTCCACACTCACAACAACGGCCTATACAGACATAAATAAACCAGCGACTGTATTCGTCATGACATGGGCCGTTTCTCAATGTCGAGTAAAGCTGCTGCAGAGCCACTATTTCAAGTATACTACGTCATCGAGTGGCACCGAAGGACTGTTAAAATGCATGTTAAATGCCCAGCATTCGGCGCCACTCGATGAAGTAGTATACTTGAAATAGTGGTTCTGCAGCAGGTATACTCGACATTGAGAAACGGCCACAGACAGTCTGTGGTTTGTACTTGTTTAACTTTTGTCTAGTTTCTGAACAGATATGAGGAGCTGTGAGCTTGAGTGCTAACAGCTAACAGCTGATGTTGTTTTTATGTGGTTCTCATTGAAGATGACGTCACGGCTCCGCCTACACTGCGTTACTATAGTTACTGCCCCAGCTACTAAACTGTAATGGAAACGCAGCATAAAGTGAGCCAGTCCTAACAAGACCTAACAAGGCCTAGCCATACCGAGCGAGGCCGAGCGAGGCCCTGTAGTGGAAATGCGCCATTTGTCTCTACTCTAGTCTATTCTGGTTGAATAAAGTTACGAGTGAAAAGACTACTAAGTGTTCTAAATAGGAGAAAATGAATTAGTGCTAAATGGATCTCATGTCATCTAAAAATGGAGCTAAAATGGTTTGAATGAATGATCCCGTGTCTTGGGACTAAGTTCAAGTGACAAACTGGATTGCTACATGCAAATAAAACCACCAAACACTAATCATGCCGTTTACATTGGCCTACATTGACACTAATGCCAGTGCTATAACGTCGCTGTACGGTTACAGTGCTAGAGCCAGAGGTCTATCACTGACACAGTGTTTTAATATTCACATTGAGAGGTCACTCCGTATCTGCGGTAGAGACTGAAAGCACACTGCATGTGCTCCAGTCCGGCAAGGTCGAGTGGATAGAGGAAAGCCGACTCGACAAAACCTGGACCAGGAGGGGAAGGGACAATGGCGGAGAGACAAAGAGCGGAGAGAAGAGATGGAGGGAGATACGAGAGAGAAAGTGAGCCAGAGAGAGGTTGAGTTTGAGATTAAGGGGGAGAAAGAGAGGAAGAGATAGAGAGGGAGGGGCAGAGCAGGGTGTGAGTCAGCAGTAACAACAGAGGGCAGGGGATCTGCAAAGTTCAAACATAAAAATGGCAGAACAATACTGACACGCAGAGGCAGGCAGACATATTTACACAAGAGACACTGGCGGACATCAGGGAGATGAGATTTCAAAAAAAGCACATTCATGGCGTGAGTTTCTGCAGGAAGTGTGTGTAGGTGCGTGATGTTTTCAAGTACCGGTTGGCGTGGTGGGATTGTTTGTGTGCATCGGCCCTCCCCAAGACCACCGGTTGGGCTTCTGTCTGGCTCTCTGGCTCCTCTCCAACGTCCGAAGCATCACCGCCTCGTGACGAGTCTGCAGCCACGGCAACAATAATACATTATCAGTATGTTTAAGAAAGGTTAACGCCTTGACATACAAATACTGCTGCAAGATAAGATAAATAAATGATTTGCTCTGGACACATGCGGTGTGTTATGGTTTGTCGAAGAATCTGAAATCTTTGTGTGCACACCAGTTGTACAAGTACTTGGTAGATAGAATCTAAACTGTAATTATGCAACAGGCTAAACATGAAAGCAGAACCAGTCTTAAACTGGTTCTGAGAATTTGTGCTACTTAGGAAGTGACAACATTGTATAGGCAGTTTACCTTCCTAAAGCATTCCCAGAATGAATGGTTAAACTTTAAAAAAAAAACGAAATGCAAAGGTATATATCAAAACTTAATTTCCCAATGTAGAAATACTTAAATGTTTTGAATATTGTCAAAACTTTTTTTTTAAAGTCCATTATGTCAATTTCCTGACTTCATTTAATAGCAGACAGTAGAGAGAGGTAGACATTGTGATAACACGGTGCAGTGCTAAGCCACAGGGACTTAACCTCAGCACCAGCAGTGCTGCGTCAGAGTAGGTGTCCCACTGTTCATTAAATAAATAAACTAATTAGAGCCTGAACTCAATGTCAAGGGACTCACTTCAAACAAAAGAACTGCAACTCTTTTAATAAGACGTTTTACGTGAGATATTGATTGCAATATTGAAACCTCTGACTTGGCACAACTTTATAAAAGAAAAATCCAAATTTAAAATTTAAAATATCATTAGACTCTACAGTTTCAAGATTATACATTTCTTCTTAAACTTTGGCGCCATATTTTGAGGGTACTTTTTGACATAAAAAATGCAGCAGTGAGACAGGTTTGTATGGCGAGGGCCTGAGCTTATCAACTTTAGCCATGCAGTTTCCACATGCTCTTCTTGCTTTACCTACAGCCACACATTTTATTTATATTATATAGACAAAACTTCCTGTCAGCAATCTATGGGTGGCATTGCAACAAACTACACCCACGTTTCCCTACAGTTTATGAAAGATATGGTGAGTAGTAATAAATCAACATGAATTAGGGAAAATTAGGGTGAGTTTGCAGTTCAAACTCCAACTCACTAAAAAGGGAAGGGGCATAGAGTGTGTATATGGTTCACTAAAAACTGATATTTATTAGCCTGTGGAGGATGACGTTGAGTGTTGTGTTGCACTTGTGTGTCGGACCTTGTCTTCCTCCAGTTTCTGCCGCCGTTTCTCCTCCACGGCAGCCCGTCTCTTGTCCTCCTTCACCCTCTGCTCCTCCAGCCTCTTCTTCCTCTCCTCCAGCTGCTTCTCATAGTGCTGCCGGGCTCGCTCCTCACGCGCCTGCCACTGGGTCTCCTTGATGGCTGAGGCATAGTGCACACACATACACACAGTTAATAGACTATGGTTTGCACGCTACATAAAACAAACTAAATTAAACATGTGTACAAACACACACGATGCATGCACACGCAGGCTTATAGCAGCAGTGAGATGGGTCAGCTGTGGATCATGTGACTAGGCTTTAGCTTTAAACACAAAGCAAATCCCTCTGCCCCTCAGCTGGGGCCGGAGGTATGACCGCTGTACAACAATACAAACACACTGAGTAAGAAATACAAAAATACATACACAAGCACTGACTTCCCAAAACTAAAAATCTGTTGCGGTATGCTGCTCACACACTCGTACAAACACATTTTTTTTTAAACACAGGCCTCTCTAAACCCTGTCCCATGGCCTGACCCATTATGTAACATTGGTGCCATGGCAACGGGGGGTGCCTGGCTTCAGCCTAGACTTTATGTAACGGCCAGAGAAACAGGCAATTCACCACAGCTACCAGACGAGTTCAGTAGAGATATGTTGCATATGTTGTGCCTCATGCACACTAATGCAGTCCACACACACACAGTTATAGAATACACACCGTTCTGTTTCTCACACTCATCCCGGCGCTCACGGGCTAATCTCTGTCTTTCGTCGATCTTGTTGAAGAGCAACGAGTCTGCAACAAAAGCACGTTTTAAACATTACATTTAACTACTGTACTAGCGACATCATTCGTGTAATACGTCTCATTCTGCCAGTGTTATTTACCTGGTCTGTTGGCAGCATTGTTACTGGGGCTGTTGCTGGTGGTGGTGTGAGTCTGTGTAGGGGTGGTGTTGGGGGTGAGGGTCAGGGTGGGACTGTAGGTGCGCCCCGAGCCCGAGGAGCTGGGGCGGGTGGCGGACGTAGACGTTCTGCCATCCTCCGATATATACTGGGAGTCAGACGCTGGAAAGAAAGATAAAAGTGTCAACATGTGGAGCGAAATAGACACTAAGAGGAGAAACAATAGACAGATAGAAAAAAGAAAACTGTAGATATGTGTAACTTTAGATTTTTTACAATTGAGCATCTATTCAGCAGGAGCTCCATAGTATCCAACCTTGCTAAGTAAAATAAAGAATAGGTAGAGTGTGTGCAAAAACCAAGAGTCTTGAACGCATCATAAATCCACTTCCAGTAGAAACCCTGAGGGGCTACAGTTTCCCCACTTTGTAACTATACACCCACAAAGGTGTAGCCAGCCTCTGTACTAACACAGTGCCACGTAAGGCAGTAAAACAGAACCACACCATCAAAGTCAATACTGTTCTCCAGTCAAGTATTTAACAACATGATAGGAATACCAACACACCTAATAGTTTATACCTGTAGTAAACTTTAATGCATCATTATTCAATATGAATATGGTATTTATTTAATACTATTCACCTCTGAAAACTCATGTCTTCATTTTTGCTTGCCACTGAATTTTATAAATATGGTTATATTTGGTTATTACAGTAAGGGCAGATTTGTTTGATAAAAGCCGGCCTTGTTGCCACAGTGACGCCAAAAGGATACTTATACTGAAGAATACAGAGTTTGATCATTTATTATCAACTTTACAAATAATATACAATATCACATTAAGATACACATTTTAAAAAGGTTGTCATATGTTATAAGAGGTTACGATACAGGTTTGTGTGAATTAGACCGGTGAGATTCCAGTAGTAACGTCTTCTAATGGGTCATTGATCATGCACATAGTGGTGTAAGGTCTGAACTTAGAGTAGCTATATGAAAACAAGCAACAAGGAGAAAAACAGTAGAGCTCTAGTTTTGTATATATTTACAGTTTCTGCAGTATAGCCTGACAGGAAACTAATTGAGGTAAAACAATGTATACTGCGCTCTCCGTGTTCTCAAACGTCCCCTGTGTGTTGCAGTGTTTCCTCTCAGCTCCGAGCTGGGCCATTGATTCATGGTACTATCAGGCTCGGGGTGACTCAGCACTTTCAGGTCAGCCTCCTGAACACAGACACCGAGCCTAACATCGGGGCCTCGGGCACAAACAGATGAGCCTGTCCCAAATGTTCCCAAACGACACACGCACACCATTTTGTGATAACAACGTTGGCTTAATTAGTCAAGGATCAAGAGGCAAACAGTATTACGGTGGCAACTGATTAACTGGAATAATTATGCACTGTGTATGCATAGGTACTGAGGCAGAGCAAAATAACTGTTCAAACACCTCCTTTGTGTTCAAGCGTGGTGAAGAGATTCTCCACAGAGGCTAATCTGTCCCAGAAAGTTTGAAAAGCAAGTTAAATCAGGATCCAGACTAAAACAAGCTCCTACTCACAGACCCTACCTAAGACGACACACACTATCTGACATTTCCCTCTCCCGCTCGTCTCCTCTTGGTTTCTTTATCGCCTCACTTCAGTGACGTGTTAGCTCAGTGGGGTAATGCCGGTGGTGAAAAGGAACAAAGTACAAGTTACATAGTCGCTGCTACAAGTAGACTCTAACGCCAAGATGAACAAGTGCACTTCAACTGCTTACCTCTTTTGTTTTGCCTTATTCAGTACCCTTGATGTAGGATCAGAATAGTCCATGTAGTATTTTTGCTACAAAGAGTGGCAACTAGGGTGCTAAAGGGCAGAAAGGCAAACCGGACTGAGAACCACATCCCTGAGCCACTGGTGTTATAAGTTATACTATCTTTTACAACCTCATTTTTCAACAGCTTTGGATACACCATACATTTGTATTATTCTTCAGAGAAAAATCTAACAGATTTACCCAAGACACACTTACCAACCTTACTAAAACCACCAAAAGCACAATTATTTAACTTATTTCTTCATGTTATGGTTTGTAATGTAGCGGATTATGTTATAAGTCTAATGTGCAAACGCCGTCTCCACCCTAACTCATTGAGACATGTTGTGGTACTTCACAATGGACATGCAGGACAAAGACGTGAGGTCATAGGTATTGCATTTCGCAGGCTATGGGACATCAACAGAGGTGTGTACACAAGTATCAGCAGGTGTACCCTGCCTCTGGTAACCCTGCAGTGGATCTGGCTTTATACAAGCTTTTGTTGTGACAGGAAGGGCTGGGCCAGGTTACAATAATGTCTGCTCAATGTATTCCTTCCCCTAAAGTTATTTTCCTCCAGCAAAAATGATAAACTCATCCAGAGGGGAGAATAATGTGGTCAGACAAATACAACACTGGGAATTTGTGAATGGCTTTTAGGCAAATAGGTCATGTGACTATACAATTGCATCACATGGACACATTCTGGTATACTGTAAGGAGCTGTATTTCATTGTTGGAAGTTAACTTCTGATGGAGTGGACCTTCTGACAAGCTGACTTCACAATAAGCCGGTGGTGACAGGCTAAGAGCAGAACCACTTTCCTATGTGACGGACTGAACTGGAGCTCTTCACTGAAAAGAGCTGGGAACACTCTGAAGCACGCAAACAGGAAACAATAACCTTCTGGAAGCAAGAAGCAAACAAGAGAGGCTGACATAATGGAAGATAATTAGCAATTCATAACATATAAAACTATTATTGGAATAGTAACATGAATCTTGTGTTGCCATGACTCATGATTGATCAATATAATCTTATTCCTACAGAAAAAAGGATGTATAATATATATGTGTGGATTCTCAACAGCAGGAAGGAGTTACATGATACATATAAAATATACAAATGACTGACAAAGAGGATTAACAATGAAAACAGATGGCCATTACCGTCTCGTAATCATCTTTAATCTACCTCTGTTAGTATTTTTTGTTTTATTATTGTTATTTATTTGAACCTATGATTATTATTTATATGAATCTTTAAACTTATTATTAGTATAATTTGTATTGTGTGTTTATATACCTACAGCCAGTCCATGTTTCCTTTACTGTACCGAGTAAGACAGTATAAACTAGTTTCATCCTGCATATCAAGAGGGAGCAGACGAGGCCGTGTGCACATCAGGGCAGCGTAAGGTTTGAGTTTTGGTATAATTTTACCCTAAGGAGTAGGGCTGTGCAATTAATCGTATTTTACATCGCAATTACGATTTTGGCCTGCCACAATTACGAAAACAACATAATCGAAAAAAACAATTATTTTGCTTTGCTAGGTTGTGACAGTTGTCACATATTTGATCTAATTAATTTTGGTCTCATTTATTTGTATTTATCATATTTATATATGTTTAGTAGCTTGGGGAAGTGCGCTCCAAAATATTTGTTGATCTTGTTTATTGGTATTTATTATTTTGATATTATTTATTTAAATGTATCATTTATTTTTGTATTGGTTTTTCAGTTGAATTATACGTTCAGGGTAATCAACAGTTAAAAAGATACTGTTCAAATTATTATTTGTAATTGTTTTAAAGTTCAATAAATGGATTTTTTCAAAGTCAATGAATAATCGTATTTAATAATCGTGATATCAATTATTGACCCAAATAATCGTGATTATGATTTTTGTCATAATCGCACAGCCCTACTAAGGAGTCAGTGTTATGAATACAAAAAAGATGCTTAATTAAAAGCAAGAGAGCGAAAAGAACAGCTTGACATTATTTGTACAGGCAAAATGGTTTATTTATGACCACTTGACTGCTGCACTGTGCAAAGTGGGTCACACTGGACTTATTAAAAACGTTTAGTTCATTATTTTCTAATACACCATCACATGCAATGGTTTAACTGTATAATGTGGTGGACTTGTTTCTAGTGCAGGGCTGTTTCCTCTCACTGCATCACATCCATCTGTCAACACACCAAAGACCAACTTTATATGTAGCATCGTGCTAGCTCCCAGTACATCTACAAAAACCCCACCCACCTTTGGCCTGTTCCAAATGTTAGCGAAACACTAAGTGTGAAAAGAATGGAGGTACTGCAAGTTTTTCTAATGCCATAAGGAGAGTTTGGAGTGCAGTCATGTCCTTTGTAATATGTTGGGATTTGTTTTAACACACTAGATTTCAAAAGAGCCAATACATTTTCAAGTAATTTCAAAACCACTTCAGGCCCTTGAAGAATGTTCATCTCACTTGAAGTGGATGTAGAAATTCAACTAAAATCAGTTTTTCAACCTCAACGAAATGTGTTTTTTTAAATCCAATGTGCTGCAGTGCAGAGGCAAAATGAAACTAACCTGTTACCAACAGCCTGCAATGTACTTGTTTTCTTTCCCTACCCTTCACCTTGTTGAAGCGGTGCCAATCTATCAGTGAAATATGCAACAGTCCTGGAATCAAATCTCAAGTCTTTACCTGGAGTCTGGTGCATGATTCCAGGGGTGTCACTGCCAGGACGGGACTTGTTGAACCCCTGGCTAGCGTCCCACTCCGACTAGTCAGACTGGAGGGCCAGAATCAACGTTTCTACTTCCTGCTAACATCCTACACGGCGGCAGATAAGCTAGGATCCAAAGTCCATGTCGTAGGAGGGAGACGAAGGACAAAGCAAAAAATGAAGAAATTCTGAAAAACCACACCCCTTACTTCAGAGTAAAGGGGAAAGCAGGACAGGAAAGAGAGAGAGGGGTCAGCTTCGGTTGTTGTCAATGTTTTTGAGAGCCGACCGACTATGGGACAGGTTGTGGTGACTGTCCAAGCCCCATCCTTTTATCCATGTGTGTGTGTTTATGTGTGTGTGTAACAGAGAGTGAGACATAGGGAGAGTGTGACTGTTTAATCTGCCCCTCCTTCCCTTATTGCTGGAGCGTGTTCCCCACCCCCAACCTATCCTCCGTCAGATTAAATGGTCAGAGTTAGCGATTAATGCTGTGCCGTCCGGGCAAGTGGGTAGCAGGCGAGCATGCTGTGTGGCTCCTGCAGCCTGAGAGGATTAGCCCACTGCTAATGCTAAGCTAAACAGTAAGCTCCAGCCAGCAGAGAGGCAAAGGGGGCAGGGGGCGGGAGTCCTCCTCTCTAGCCCCAGGACAGGCAGTCAGGCCGGGATAACAGCTGCCCTCAGAGGAGGGTACTGCTGCATTTGGGAGCCTGTAGGTTTCAGCTCAGGTAATGTATGTCTGTCGTCAACATATAACTCTTTAAAGTTTTTGACAAAAGTATAAGGGCAATAAATAATAAAAACAGCTGTTGTCTATTTTTGAAATGTTGCCATCTCTATCACAAATGCTCTTAAATAAATAGTCATACTACCAATCATAGAAACTTTGTTTAGCAACGTGTCATCGATATATGTATAGAAATGACATGCAAATTGATATTAGAAGACAAATTCCCAAAATAAAGATTGCTAAAGAAAAGCTTTCCTTAACCAATGTCAAAAACAGCATCTCATCTCGGTCACAGTTGATTCAAACAACTATTTACATAATGTATCTACCCTGAAGACCAAGACATGCTTTTAAACTTCCAAGCACATAAACATCTATAAACTTTTAAAACTGGAGATGGGTAATTAATACAGTCTACATTTAAATGTATCCTGAATAGTGCTAAGCTAGCCGAAACACTGCTTTTGTTTTCACCTTGTGGTCTATGTGTGTGTGTCTGTGGACAGATCTTTGTGACCCTGGCAGTGTTCCAACCATGCAAGAGAAAGTCACAAATCTTATAAGGTGTGTTCAAATCAACATGAAAGTTGGGTTCTAAGGGGAGTGGGCTCACTAGTTTTAAAATAAAGGTTACTATGGAGCAAGTGAGCAGTTACATGATAGTTTGTGATCATCCTCGCTGCAAGAGCTCACAATTGTCTCTTCATCCTCTCTCTCTTGGTCTATTCCATTATGTATAGGTAAAGTGAGTCGTGCATGTTCGCCCCATGAGGAAACTGCAAACCTTTAGTATGAGAATGTCTTACACTAAAAGGAAATGCAGTTAATTAAAAAATAACTTGTTTCCTTGTTCTTTTTACATCATATAGTTCTACTTTTTTACAGGATGTCAGGTTAGACATGTAAGACTGTATAACTGAAGTTAGGGGAATAAAAGGGGGAATTATAAAAGCTACATATTAAGTCACGTTAATATGTGATCACCCTCCTGTCTCCCTACGTCAATAAACAACCAAACCTCGCTAAAAAATGTGTTATACAAATTTCTCTTTCACCTGTATGATTGGATATGAAATACATATAAATGGTGATAATTCAAACAGTTGCTCGTTTCCTTGCAGCAAATTCAGAAGGACCCTATAATGCTTAATTTACTCTATATATGTATCCGTGTTAGTTGACCAACATTCACCAAAACCACAAACCTGACTGAGGTTTTCTCTGTAAAACTACAAAACCCAGAAACAGTTCACTAACAACTCTGCAGACCTAATCCCACGTTTGACAAACACAGAACTGTCCAATGGGAATACATTGCAACAGCAGCTCTTGTCAACATTACATAAAAAGGCATGAGGTAAACTAAAGAATAATTCATAATTAAAAAAAAGCTAAACAACTGACAGTTTGCAAATGTAAAGATTCTTTACTTTGGACACATACAGCCCTGTGGACTGATGCAGTATTACAACCACAGACACGTGTGAAGTGGACTGCACCTTCACTCTCATCTGCTGCCCTTGGGTTGACCCAATCTTGCCTGTCAGCTTGTTTTCACACACACAGCTTTCTCATCAGACTTGTCAGCCACCTGTTTCCAGAACACACACACACACACACACACACACACACACACACACACACACACACACACACACACACACACACACACACACACACACACACACACACACACACACACACACACACACACACACACACACACACACACACACACACACACACACACACACACACACACACACACACACACACACACACACACACACACACACACACACACACACACACACACACACACACACACACACACACACACACACACACACACACACACACACACACACACACACACACACACACACACACACACACACACACACACACACACACACACACACACACACACACACACACACACACACACACACACACACACACACACACACACACACACACACACACACACACACACACACACACACACACACATCTTTCTGCCCCACTAGCCTCTCTGTCCCAGATTGAAGATCTAAAGTTTAAATGAAGCTCAAACAGCACGAAGTACCAGAGCATGCAATCCCGCTGTGCTCTCCCTCCATCCTCTCCCTCCATCCTCTCCCTCCATCCTCTCCCTCCATCCTCTCCCTCCATCCTCTCCCTCCATACCTCTTTTCTTCCTCTTGCGAGCATCTCTCCGTCTCAGCCCTTCCTCTTCCTCAGTGATGGTGAAGAGTGCCGGGATGGCCGAGCGGCTGCCTCCCTTCCTCAGCTTCCACTTGCCCCGCGAGCCCCCACCTTGTATTTTACTCTCTGGCATGGCCTGCCCTGTTGCTATCCCTCGGTCCCCTGGCTAACTCGCCCAGCCCCTGCCCATCCCACCATGCAGTGGTGGTGGGGGGGGGGGGCAGGTAAGTGGTGGACGCCAGAGGGTGGTGGGGGGTCACCCCTAAAAGCCTTCTGCTCAGCGAAGACAGCTATGAGGTAATGCTTGAAGCCAATTCCTCTCGCTGCATATTGCTGCTCTGTCTCTTAGACAGCAGGAAGAAGAGACCAACGAGGAAGAGAAGAGAAGGAAAGATGTAGGAAATTAAAGTGTAGAGAAAAAGGAGACCGTAAGAAAAGAAACAAGTACAGAGAGATGAAGTGTGAAAGAGACACACAGAGCTGCCCACTGTGCCCTGCTGACAATGGCAGTGCCAGGCGGAGAGACGGAGTGAGACACAGAGTGCGACAATCTGGAGTCTGGAGGATGAGCTCTCGTAGTCTGGCTTAGAAAATAAGATTTAATCCAAAAAACTGGCCGGGGGAAGAAAGCTGGAAAGATTGCACTCCTCAAGAGATGCTGCTGTCACCACTCTTACTGCAGCCCCCCTCTCCTCCCTCTCGCTGGGCCTGTTCTGTAAACTTGTCAGAATGATCACATCACACAGGCACTGGCTGTACAGTAAACTCACACACACTGCCCCACAGATACACTAGTAGGAGGGCAGCAGGGCCGTTCAAATATTTAGTGAAAATCCAGCAGTGAGCCGGTACCGGTAAAAGGGTTTCCCTGACAACAGCAGCAACAGGACTGATGATGAGAGGAAGCAAGAGAGCAGAGGACAGGCTCACTTTAATGTAATACACACACACACACACACACACACACACACACACACACAGACACACACACAGACACAAGCAGGGCAGCACGCCTGTGCACACACCAAAGCAAATAATGCAGTGCTGGATCTGCCTGTGTGGAAGGGGTGTGTCCTAAGAGCACATGGTATATGTCCCCGCCCTGTTCTCCACTTAAAGAGGCATCAGCTCTCTGGCATACCGGGGAAGTGCAGCAAATATGGAAAATCTCTTTATTCATGTCCTGCGGGCTCTTTACAGGACACAGAATTAACAGTGTTCAGATCCATAGTTATTCCTGAGCAGTATGAACAGATAATAAGATGTGCTTCACTATCATTTCATACACTGACACACTGCAAATACACTGAATATGAGAAAGGGTGAGGAATAAATTAGATAAGATGTGATGAGCATTTGAAATGGTCAGAGGCTGCTCACAGTATGGCAGGTGACATGCAAAATAAAAGGGCAATGAAGTTATTGAAGGCTACATTTTTGGAAGTTTGTCCAATGACAGTGCAGCAGCCTGCATGATAGATATCACGTATACTATAGCAAATACAGAGATAAACAACCAGCATGACCGCTTTAAATCTCTGGTGCTGCGGCTGAGAAAACAGCAAAAATGGTTAAAGGTGCATGCAAGTTATAAAAATTGTAATAGCCTAATATTAGGGGTTTTGTGAAAATGTGGAAGATTTTTTGCTTCGAATCAATATTAAAAAAACATCTTCATCCCGTTTCAAGCTGGTATTTCTGCACAGTTAAAGATACAGATTAGGTTATACTATTATTATTATTAGTAATATACATTTGTAAAATTGGATTTTACTCTGCAGAGGATTGATCCTAATTTGTGTGATCAAAACTATAGAAGATGGACCGTCTAAAACGTCAAGATTTATCTGAATAGGATATACAGTATGTAAGAATCCTAAAATTCAAAATATGTTCTTAATCGAATAGAAAAATCGTCTTGAATTCATATTTGTTGGCGTTTAACCTTTCAAAAGAAACATTCCCACTCGAATTCATTTAAAATAGAGAAGTAAATTTGAGGGAGTTTAGTGTTTTATTGGGAGATGATGTAGGGCTGCTCAATTAATCGTATTTTAATCGCAATTACTTTTATTGGTTTTTAAGTTGAATTATACTTAAAGTTCAGGGTAATCAACTGTTAAAAACATACTATTCACATTTTTCTTTTCAATAAATGGATGTTTTCAAAGTAAATGGATAATCGTTTTTAATAATCGTGATATCAATTATTGACCCAAATAATCGAGATTATGATTTTTGCCATAATCGAGCAGCCCTAAGATGATGTCATAAAATATGATGACAGGCATTCGATGCTTCAAAAACCTGAATAGATGCGTCGGATGTTAAAAGAATATGGCATACAGTACTGCTTTCCCATAGACTATTTCAGCACAAAGCATCTAATTCACTACCACCTCAAATACCTGCAGGTAAAGGCATTCAGAACAAGGCTTGCAGCCTCTTCTCCTCAGGGAGCACATGCTGTACAAATCGTCATTCATGAAAGAGCAATCTGATCCTGTCCCTGCAGGATGGAGTAATGCTGTAATCCTAACCCTCAGACTTAAACCTGAGAGGCCAGGCTACATCCTCCAACACCTTTCTGAATGTACACAGACAAGGAAATAGATTAAATATGTTTGACTGTTTACACATTTAGCATTGAAGTATACAGAATGGACTACTACCAAAGAAAAAAGTAAAAGGGATTGTCTTTCTTGTGAATACACATTCTGTGATTTTCTGTAAATACAGTCCAAGTAATCCATTGGATTTAAAAAAAGAAAAAGTGATATTCCTTGTTGCTCATAAGAAACCAACCTGATTTATTAGCAATGTCAGCAAACATTTGAATGGAAAACTTTTGACAATTCGGCACATTTTAAGTATCTTATCCCACATAAAAGCATGTTCAATCTAAGGCTAATTCAAATTGATGTTTGCTCCCTCAGTGACATGTGGTTTGAAAAACAACTATAGCTTCATAACAAATAGAGCTAATATTAATGAAGTCTCGCAACAATGGTGTTCGCAGCTACCGTCATACAATTCAGTCATGTGGTCGAAGATGATGAAACAGATGGGAAAATCCAGATGTCTCTTTGACAAACAAAGGCCATTTAATGAAACGGTGATTAGAAAATGAAAGAATTGTGCTTGAATGGAAGAGTTTAGATGTAAACTGGTAACATGATGGCGGAGCTCTGAGATCTCTCACGGCAGCAACCAGTAAGACGTCAATTTGTCAGCTGATATAGAAAACAGATAGTAAAACTGGTTTGGCCACCAAGTTAGAAACTATACACAAATCATTTCTGTACAGGCATATTATGGGGCAACTATTCATTTAATTTAATTTCAAATCCTTTGAGATCATTGATCTCTTTTTCAAGGGAGACCTGCTCAAGTAGGTTCCACATGAAACATAAAAACATAAAACAACAGAACAACAAAAAGGACATCATACAGCATCATTACAGGGATTACAATAACTATCCACATGAACAGGTACCAACAGCATCCGATTGAGTAGCATCCAACCGAGCTTTAAAAACATTTAGTGGCACCAGATTGCTCAGTTTCCATTTAATTTGCAGACTATTCCAAGACAGAGGAGCTGCGCATCTAAAAGCTATCTTCCCTAAGACAGTCCTAGCAGTTGGCACATTTAATAAAACCACAGCATGCGATCTCAGGCAGTAGCCACTTACAATTCGCCGTGAGATCAGGGAGCAGATGTAGGATGGAAGTTTCCCTAACATGGCTTTGTATATAAAAATGTACCAGTGACTGAGCCTCCGTACAGTTAGTGAAGGCAAACCTGCCCTTGCATACAGGGTACACTGATGGGTTAATACTTTACAGTTTGTCACAAATCTCAGTGCACTGTGATACCCAACATCTAACTTGATCAGGTAATGGGCAGGTGCATTCATATAAATCAAATGACCATAGTCCAGCACAGGTAAAAAGGTCACAGTGACTAGCCTTTTCCTGGCCTCAAGCGAGAAACAGGACTTGTTCCTGTAAAAGAAACCTAGCCTAACCCTCAGCTTTTTAAAGCAGATTATTGACATGAAGTTTAAAAGTGAGACAATCATCAAGCCAGATACCAAGGTATTTGTAACAGGTAACCACTTCAAGTTTTATTCCTTGCGTAGTTACAATATCTAAAACAGGCTCTGATGTCTTTTTAGCTTTTGAAAAGAGCATTACCTTGGTTTTATCAACATTTAAGAGAAGCTTTAGTTCAGAGAGCTGAGTCTGAATAATGTTAAAAACACCTTGCAATTCAACAACAGCCTCCTTAATGGAGGGACCTGCACAGTACATCACGGTATCGTCCGCATAAAAATGTAAGGTTGCTCCATTGACATTTTCACCTAAACTATTGATATAGATAGAGAATAATAGCGGACCTAAAACAGAACCTTGTGGTACACCATTAGTAATGTTCAACCACTCAGAAGACAGCCCATCGAACTTAACACATTGGGACCTTTCAGAGAGGTAGTTCACAAACCACCCCACTGCATGGCAGGATAAGCCAATACTGGCCAGCCACTGCTTTAAGATGCGATGATCGACGGTATCAAACGCTTTGGACAGGTCAACAAATAGAGCTGCACAACTCTGCTTATTATCTAAAATACTCGCCATATCATTCACCACTTTCATTGTGGCAGTGATGGTGCTATGTTGCTTTCTGAAGCCTGACTGATGTTTAGACAGGATATCATTTGGACATAAAAACTCCTTTACCTGTTCACTCACTAGGCGTTCGAGCACCTTGGCCAGAACTGACAATTTAGAGATGGGCCTATAATTATTTAATAAGGTGGCCTCCCCTCCTTTTAGTAAAGGCAGGACATAAGATGACTTCCATATTTTTGGAATTGTATTTGTGCTGAGGGAGAGGTTAAAAAGAGTAGTGAGAGGTGGAGCAATAAAATCTGCAGCTATCTTTAAAAAGAAAGGTTCTACGTTGTCCGGGCCAGCCGGTTTCTTAGGATCTAACTTGGTTAAAGCTTCACGAACAACATCAACAGTAAAAGGAGTAAAACTGAAAGGGTTTTCCAGACCACATTGTTCAGAGTCACGGACTGTGGTGTTCACAGAAGCAGAGTTAGTGACATAATCAAACAGAGAGCCACAGGACACAAA